CCAATCATCACCGTCGTAACTTTGAACCTTTGCCTCTACCCATTTTCTTGTCTTCGTTCGGTTCACATTCGCCTTGTATGTATTCGGAGTAGAAGGTGTCCTATGTGCATAGCATAGGTGTTAGTACGTGTAGCGAATAGAGTAGAGAATTATATCCTAATATATATCCTATGAGTATTTACAACTGAAGTATGAACTTACATTGGGGAGAACGGACTATTGCTCCGAACCACATTATTGTACGACCCTTCATTCATGGTAGCAAATCGAAGAATATCTTATGATCTATTGCGACATCAAGGATAAATGGGAATCAGGGTCTCGGGTTCGGATTCGGTAAGGGATAAAGGCAATACGGAGCACACGACAATAAATCTAATGCAATCGATAGCGACGCAAACAGGCGAAATATTTAATGTGCTCTAAGGCGAAAGTCGAGAGGTGTTGAGGAAACCTTGTTGACGTAGTCAGGTGTATGTGAGAGGTATCACAGAATTAGCAGGCGGATGGATATCTGGTCCGATGCGGGCAGGCGAAAAAAGCGAATCGCTGTCGTAAATTGAATAAATTGAATATAGACGGAGAGGGAAAGGGTATAAGAGGGGGGTTTGTATAGGTACAGGGATTGTATAACGATCGATGCTCGATATTGGATGTTACAATAGGATCAATGAGTTCAAATATGTACGATAGAAAAGAGTCGAGCTCGTCGCGACAAGATTGCGAAGACAAGGCGAATTTGAAGAGGAAGATGTACGAAGTAATGATGAAGAAAATAATAAAGATGTTTAATCTAAAATAATTCGGCGCCTAAAGATTCAAAAGATACAGATACAGGTACTGCACCTAGGTACATACCTTAGGTACCTTAGGTTGGCTCGTACTGCACATCCAGACATTGCGATCCGCTCTGCCGCCGTAGTGTACACGGATACGTGAGGTGCACGTTTATAGGTTATTAACAGTATTAACGGTATCAACGTACGTAATCCCGCAGTTGAGTACTTAATAGCATCCACCTGGACCCCTACCAAGCCGCTAAGATTTTCGATGGGGTACATATTCGTATTTTATGTACTGCGTAAACGAGGTACCGCTCTGCCTACTTAAATTATTGGCTCCACGTCCCTAAAGTGCAGGAGCATAGCCACAGTTAACTCCGGATAGCTGCTTTCCACACTCCATCTTTTACCGGCATCACAGGTGGTACGATACCTAGAAAGTACCTATCAATTTTAAAGCTCACGTTTTTCTACATATATGACCAAATTTTATACAATCCTGAATCCTACCATCATTTAACAACCTGCATAGGTACATGGTCATGGGATATTTATAACATCCTCTATCTATAGGCATAGTTAGTTACTATTGTAAAGAACTAACTAATTTAAAATGAATAGATGAAATTCATATTATACAGGACGATAAGAACCATATTAGCTACCTTGTATACCTTTTCTCTTCAACAAACAAACATTCAACAAGATATATCTTTATCTCGAACATGTAATGACTGTGTAATAACGGACAATTGATATGGAAATTGTAAACTAATTTTCATTCCTAGAGGACACTTGAGTGTCTAAGTCAATATAACGTAAAGTTGAACAGACTTCAACCTACCAACGCTATATACCTACATACGAAGAAACTCACTTCTCATATCTAGATACCTAACTACAATTTAGAGATTATCGCTCACTTAGTAGATACCTAATATATCAACAGCACTGCCAGCTCTGGTCTTGGTTCTTATATATTATAAATTATAGGTTCACACATTTCTAACGCATCATTTCTTGCTAAATCTTCTTATTACAAACAGCGACTGAAAAGTGATATTTGGGTGTGCATAATCGCACCCCTATTATCTACCTACATAAGATGGATCGAATATTACATGAGTGCCACAGATTCTGGGTCCCAACCATGATAACAAGGTAAAATATCATAGCCTCGAGTCGTCTAAGTAGGTATCCTTAGTATACAAATTACTAGCGATGTTGGGTTTGGGGAGGTCACAGCTATGAGCCTCCACATTTGCGTAGAACCCTTTCGATCGCCTCGTTCACCTGCCGGCTAGACCATCTAGCCTCAGAATCAGGGCAAACCATGGCCTCCGCTAGCAAAACCACGTCGTCAATAACTTCAGGGGGATATCCCTCGTTTTTTAACCCATTCCTAAGACTCGTCGGTACATAGCCCATCTGCAATCCCTTGAGCATATCAACTCGTTCCATAGCTGTGGCACAGGGGCATGTCATCTCGATAAACACAACACCCAGAGCGAAGATGTCGACTTTCTCATTGTCCGCATCCTTAGAGGGTGGTGGTCGGTAATAGGTAGTACCTACAGCACGATCCGATGTTGTCGAGCCGTCGTCGCTTGCATATGATGGAGGCAACCCCTCGCGCGCGAGCTGGGTCACTAGCCCGAAATCGCCAATACGCGGATTAAGCCATTGCGGAGGCAAATTTTTGTCCTTCGCTCGGCAGGAATTGCATGCAAGACTACAGTATCCTCCCTGTGGCTCAGTGTTGGGCAACGAGAGAAAGATGTTGCCCGGCTTAATATCCCGATGTATAAATCCTTTAGTGTGGATGTACTGTAGCCCAGCGTGTATAGCATGAAGGAGCCTAAGACTGGGAACAAGATGAAAGCAATGCCTTACGGCGTTATTTCCGCTAGAAGAAAGAGATATATACTGAGCTAGCGTCATTGGGTATAGCGACATTTGTATGTATAAGATGTGTCCGACGGCATCAAACGTCTCCCTCTTTCCATTCGAGTTCGATAGCTTACTTTTCCCGTCCGTAAATATATCGCTAGTATTTGACAGGGAAAGACTCTCAATAGCAGGATTACTAGAGGTGCGCTGTTCGAACCATTGCCGGTCGTTAACCAACTGGTCGTTCGCCTTGCTGTCATGGCAAAATGGAGTGTCTTCTGCAAAAACAACCCCACCACTTAGTGACAGTTCTGCCTCGTCCCCATTATCTTGAGAGAATGGCCGGTGGTCTAAAAGTAACTGTTGCCTTTGACCTACGTCAGGTCTCGTGCCATGATCTAACACTGTAAGTTAGCGATCATCGTTACGTTAAACCAGAGTTTGACCGTATGGGCGGCATGTATGATTCATGGGGTAGACAGTGCCTGAACTAAACAGCCTAAAATAATCACGTACCATGTGTCATTTCGGCTGACTGTGGTTGTTGAGGCTCCTCAAGCCATGTAGCATGATATCGCACGATGTTAGGGTGATCTAACGCGGCCAAAGCTTGCACCTCGCGTAGGATATGCTGAAGCTCTTCCAGTTTCCCATCGCGAAACCTTCTTCCGAGCCTCGGGGATAGCTGGATCTTCTTTACAGCATATGTTCCTTGATCTAGGGGGTTGAAACACTTATATACTTTTCCGAAGCCACCTTTCCCTAAAAGAGCGCCTTCTTGGAAGGAAGATTGATAATGACTTCGTACTGGGGGTAGCTGGAGAGTCAGATTCAAATCATTAGATGGATGCGGCATGAATGTAAGTTGGGACGTCCCAAGGACTAAGTCTCGCATCGCGTTAGGGAGATGAGAGGTTGGTACTTGAGAGCCAGCAACCAGATTATCTAAGGCTGACAGATATTGGCGACGAGAATTTCTCACGGTATCAGATGTCGCTAAGTCGGATATTACTCCATTCGACGATAGTGTCCGGCTTGCGTCCGCAAACAGTTGCCGAGCAAGAGGCTGAATCTCTGGAGATTGTCTCGTATAGTTCTGTCCCGGATTAGTAGCGTTGAGATACTCGGCAGCGCGGGTACGGATATAATCTTCGAGTAGACTAGCAAGCATCATGTTACGATGCTCCTCAACACCATCTATATCACCCGAAGAGTCGTGAGAGCTAGAGATGGATATCGACTTGATTCCGGAGGAGACACTAATACTTTGGATGTCTCCTTCATCCATCTTTGTTTCGGAGTTTGATGGGACACTATCTTGAGATGTATGCTCATCTGAATCCATAGTCAAAAGTTAAGCGGACTAATGTTAACTGGGAGGAATTGCGTCGATGTTGGTATGATGGAACCAAGGGGTTATGTATAGCGCATCAAATGTAGTAGTCTTTTAAAGACGTTGAAAATAAATATATGTAAAGGAAACATTAATTGACCAAATGGGTTTACCCATTCCAGTATATTTAGGTTTGTAGTTATTAGGAGGTAATCGTCTAGGTTAAGCGAGTGATTGCCGAGTTCTGATTCTTGGTTAGTCGTGTGGTTATGAGAATGTGAGGTGTTCTTTTAAGACATTAACTGCCACGTTGTTCCATCTCTTTCTCTCTGTATGTGGTCTCCAGCTCAATGGTTACCCTAGAAATAACGAGGATACCAGGTCAACAACACACGGATCAATTAGTTGTGACCAACTATTATCTCCTTCATTTACCGAGTTTCATGACAGGATGTTATAAGTAAAGAAGATGAATGATTCAACTTTTCAACTTTGAACCAAAATTGAAGGCAACACCGTCCGTGCTAACTTTCAACATTTTAGTGTAATATGTGGTTTTATGCAATGTAGTAATATGCATCTAGCGCACTATTAGCGGCTTATCAACCCCACTATCCTATTATCATCCCGCCTAATTTATAGATTTCTATATCTCTGTTACGATGTAGTTATCTAAATTTTTACACCAAAACTTTACGCTGTGTATAATAAGAAGAAAATGAAGAACACATAGCTTTTTAAAACGACTATATTTTTTAACTGCTAAATTAAGCTCCATAATGACCACATTTAGGTTGCCATATGGGTTTTTAGAATTTTGAAAATCTACCTAGGTAGGTACCTGATTATTGCGTCGATCCAATCAAGCCCCTTGTCAAATACTCTTTTCGGTATAAATGAAATTATTTCATTGTTTTAACTTGAAAATTTGAGTCCCTTCCCGCCTTTTACTTAGCATTAGATACAAGAATCAAGACAAATACCTGGCCGTCAACTTAGATCAAAGCTACTGCAGCAGCAGCTAAGATACCACCACCTACCAATCCCATCCGAGGGGCCGAATCCGCCGCAGCACCCTCCGAAGTCTTTGACGCTACCTCCCCAGAGCTTGTAATAGTTGGTACGGCCTGGCCACCAAGTGTCGTACCGAAGCTTGTAGTGATCGCCTGGAGATTTCCGCTAATACTAGCGATCACCTCCGTGTAACTAGGGCCATCGCTCACAAAGGTAGCGCAGCTGAGAGGTGTTGTCGTCTGCGTCGTCGTAGTCGGCCCCTGGCAGATTGGCCAGCCATCGCAGACGGAAAGATAAGGAGTATCTATGTGACCGCCAACACAGCAGCCGCTATAGCCAGCGTCGACGACTCGCACGCCGGGACAGTCTTGGATATCCCCCTATTAGATGTTAGAGTAGAGTAGTCCGGACGTAGTATTTTTACCCTAGGATGATACATACACTCTGATCTGAGTCGGCTGCAAGAGCGCTTGAAAGCATGAGCGAGGTCAAGATGGCCCTAGTGAGAACGAACATAATTAGATTGTGGGATTGTTGGTGGTTAAGTAAATTTGATTTTAAATGGTTCGGAAAGGGGTGTTAAAGTGAGTAGTTGTTATTTGATGGTCAACTACAATATAGAAATTAGCATGGGGAATTCGTCGCTTATATATTCGCTACGCTTGACGGCTTACATTATATACCGCTCTCAATCGGTATTGATCTTGCGACTCGAATAATAATATAATATTAATAGCATCACTTACCATGCCATGCACCCCTTGACCTTGTCTTATACCCTAGGACAGTTGCATGGGACTGTATTCTACTACTCTATTTGATCAAATCGCATCATCAAGCCTCATTTGGGTCGTCTACTTCCTGTTCGTGTGGGCCTGCCGGCCGAGCTGAATATCTCTCTAAGAACAACACATCTAAATGATCGGTGAATGATTCTTTTCTAATTTAAAAGAACCAACCTCGACCTATGCTTTCACTGTGATACGGGATGAATATGCACCTTTATATATTGCGTTTCTGCACTAGGGATCAAGCTTGTTTTATTTCATTCTTTATTCGTTTCACTCGCTATATGTATCTAATTCTAAGTGAGTCTTCCTTAGCACATAGCTTGGGAGTGTAGGTACAGTCACCAAAATACAAAACCATATCAAGTAGGTAATCAAAGTACTACACTAGAGCCCTGTAGGATACTCTTGCAATAGCCACATTGGGAATGTTGATTTAGGTGGTTTGTATGGGTTACCTCCTTGTTTGGTTTTGATGATTTCGTAGATGGGTGTTTGGGAAGAAGCTCGGCAACGTTACGAGACCATATATGTTCCAATTCACCTTCAGCCATTCAAGCTCTTCATTAGTCATCGATACATGCGGATCCTTTTTGTAACGCAACAAAAGTGCGTGATTATTTGATATCGGCATTGTAGAGTATCCTCTTTCTACGCTGGACTTAACAGTCTTCCGTAGCATGTCGGTAAATGTCCGGGCATCTGGCACTTCATGGATGCCCATTTCTCTGAGAAAAGCTGGGAAATCGTTAATAGTGTGTAGGCGCCGAACTGTTTCTGCTAGTTCTTTGGCTGCATTGGGGGGAGGAGCACCATGGCGGTCGAATAGCTCGTCACGAACTTGGCTCAAGGGTTTCTTGTGGGAAGGCCGTGCGGTGCGTCTGAACAGTTCTGAGAACATTAGAAGTCGATAGGAGGTTCGAGATCCCCGGAAAGTCTGATCCAAACGGTAAGCTGATACTGGGTTCCGCTCTAGATATGAAAGTTCGGGCATGCCGGCTCCTTTCTTGTCGAAGAGCCAGACCACATTTCTTGTAATTGCTTCGATGATGATAGCTTTTATAAGCCCCTCGGTAACCTCGACGTCAGATATCAATAAGGCGATAAGGAGATGTCCCAAATTAGGACACTCCACTTTAGATCGCTTTCCACTTATGAAGTTTTGTAGTAGAGAATTTGCATGTTTAACAAGCGTGCAATCCTCAGTGGCAAGGCAAACCAATAAGTGGAATAGGTGGAAATACGAATCGATAGCCTTCTCTGACGCGTGGCGAAGGTTAGTTTTAGGAATGTAAGGATTAGTAGTGACTTCTGTTACTTGATTGAGTCGAACAACAACATCATTCATGAATGTGAACAGTACTTGAGCTTTAAAAAAAGTCCCATTATTCTTGATCTTGTGTATCATCACTTCCAGAGAGATTTCGACATACTTCTTAACCCGTTGCCAATGACCCGGCGAGATAGGCAAGGGAAGCCAGTGGTCGAAATGGATATCGTTGACGGACTCACGAACACCCCAAGACATATAAACTTCCCGCGAAAGGAGGTCAAATTCCGAAGCTATTTGGCCACGGTTAATTGATACTCCTACGCCGAGGTTCACAGAGTGGTAATTCTGCTTGAGGCAAAAGCATTGAAGCTCACGCTGTCTGATAATATCGAAGTCCTTGACGATGTGGCTGACCCTGGACCATGCCGCAGCAAAGCTTGTCAAGTGCTCAAAGTCTAGCTGCTCCAGAATAAGTAGGATCAATTCGTTGGGTAGGCGGTCGATTTCGCACGTTATGATTTTCTTAGGTAGAGGCGTTTGTATATCAACGTGGAGATCTTGGGATTGGGCTTGAAGTTGTTTTCCAACGTCCTGAAGCGTTGGCCAGTGACTTGGGTTGCTATCCACGCGGGCATCGTAAGTCGGGGATCTGTACTTTACCGGCCGGGGTGGTTGCGGTTGGCCATGACCAAAATGACAATAGCTGCACTTGAACGAATCGATTAACTGCCTATCCACAGCCTTGTATTCGGATAGATATCTTTTTCCACCATAATCCTGCTCGACGGTGTCGCTTGAGAAGAAGCTAAGTAGTTGGATAGCTATGCCTTTGAGCGTGTATGCAGGTGTATGTTCGGGGCCTCGACGTAGAATAGTAGCACATATGAAATTCTGATAGACATTGGGGTGATTAACGTCTGAGTCCATCTTCACCCGTGGCGGATCTGTAGGGTACAAAGGCGGAAAATATATGGTGAGGTGCATGGGTTTATAGTCAGGAGGCGTAAGGACTAAACATGCCGTTGTAAGGTTGTCCTCGATAGTATGTAAAGCGATATTGGGGTAAGGCTTTTCCATGAGTTCCTTGATGTCTAATAGAAGTCGGTTTTGTCGAAGGGGATCACCAACGCTCGGTTGGGATCCAGTTGCTTGTTGATGAGACATGTCGATAATCTAGTGGCGATAATTTCCTCAGGACAGGGTATGAGAATGAATTGTGGATGTATATTTCTCGCAGGGTGATGAATCGTGAGAACCTTGATCGTCCACTGGATATACCGGGTTACGAAGAGGATAGTCGTTTAGTGTTCTCACAAGAGCTATCTACGATAGACTTTGGTGGTTAGAGAGGAACATACAGGAAAGAATCCCCGATAGCATTAAGAAGACGAGAACATGGACGATTTAAATATTTATCACGGCTGTCTGAGAGAGGTGGAGTAGAATAGTCTGGTAATAATTAACCTGTAACCTAAGGAACCGACAACAAAGAAAATCCAGGCAATAATAATCATCCTCAGGCAGCGTTATAGTATACTTCGGCCTTTGACTCATTACGGTCACGATAGTGGATGATAGTGGAGGATCGACGCCCCTATTTTTACCCTTTTCATCTCGCCGCGAGGTATTAACCGTGGCGGTGCAATTGATTTGTTTGCTCCTCACCGTCAAATCAAGCTGGTATTAGCTTAGCAAAAAAGATGCTATGATATGAAAAAGAAGTATCTCCCTATTTCTTAGTATATGTATTTTGTTACATGTTAAAATCTAACTTAAATGTTGTCTCTTTATTTTAATTGTCTTGCATGTTACCCGCCTTAGGTACCTTAATCTATCTAATGTTATAGCGGGGTCAGCCTGCAACATTACCACTAACACTGTAGCCAAGACTATATCCCAAAGTAAGACTATCTAGATCTAATTATATCAAAATCTAACTTAAGAACTTAAGCACTTAGTGTTATAAGATAAAATACTAATTAATTAATTTACTATTTAGTTTTATATAGCCTCTATGAGCATAACTTATGGTTAATATTTAGGTCCTTAGACTAGTGAGACATCTTAGATTAAGAGCTTGCAGATTAGTGAACTTTAAGACTTGCCTACTCCTTATGTCTTTATATAAAATATAACAACTACCTCAACTTGAAAATCACATGGTGAATTATTGATTCATTACCCTTGAACGTCAATTGCGAGATAACCTAGAGGTCTTATAAATCCAGTCTAGAAACAGCGCATCGACAACGTCAACATTCCACCTAGGCCCATCCCCAAAGCAAACACAGTTCTCGGCGAGCTTGCATTTCATGTCCTCGAGTGAATCTTGTAATGAAAGGCTGCCTTCACCTTTTGCAGCAGTCTCCAGAATTGCAAATGAATCTTTTCCGATCATGTTCTTTACGCGCCCTTCAATCCCCATTGCGGATAACCATTGATTTGGGTCTATTCCTCGAGCATGATAATCTGCATCGATCCGATTACGCATCAGATTTGGCAAGTCTCGTTCTGCAGCCGATGCATATTGAGCGCTAATTGAACCCGTGCGCCGGTACTCTTGTCTCGCTTCGACCATTGCGTAGATGTATGTAATGGTCCAGTTCTCTGTCGCTGTCGAGTGGTCGAGTGCTCTTTGAATGAGAGAGGTAGTAGTCTCTGTGTGACTACGTGTACATTGCTTCCGGGCGTGGTCCATTATGGACCAAAACAGGATTCCTGCGAAAGTCTTGGATCCCGGACCAAGGTATGGTATAATATCGTCAGGTGGTATACTAACCCGCATATAGTGTTGATGGTCTAGCCATATACCGCATGTAAGTCTTTGCGGTGAAGGCAAAGATGCCAGTGATGAGGTAAAGCTGGAGCCAGAGTTTTCTTTACGACTTGATCTTTGGATAATATCCCTAGATGTACCTTTAACAACTATGTCTTCCTCACCATCGGCGGTAGACATAAGGGTTTGTTTGTTTCTAGTAACATGTTTGGAAATAGGTTGGACAGCGATATGTGTAGGCTTTTTAGCATCAATACCCGCAGCTTCTGCCACGTCGAATATTGTATTGAGCAACTCTGGATGCTCATCACCACGTGTAAGATTAACTAATTTCTCAATCGCGTCCTTGAGTCGTTGATTTTGATTTCGTATGTGCTGGTTAGCTTCAGCTTGACGTTTTCGAAAGTTAGCTTGAGACCGTCGGCCCCGTTCACGTCGACGCTATGGTCAGGTTAGGGGTAGCGCAGATGAGCAGGGGGGATGAATGTGTGCTTACACGAAGAGAATCTTCAACAACTGTTGCCGTCTCCACTTGGTGATGATCGGAAGCTGCTAGCATCTTGAACGATTTATACGAGATTGCAATTTGTTATTCCGATAGTTATGTGATCGTAAGGTTGAAGACATTGAACTATTTAGCGGATTTGTCAGATCACAGTTATTAGTTCAGTTGAAAAGGGATTACGTTGGCGGCTTGGCGCGGCGCGATTCCATCCGATCACGTAACCGCTGACGGTGAACTGCTGAAGGGTCGGACATTCACACTTTATATGATCCCGAGAGTTATGTGAACGGAGCATATTGAGATAAATATGGAGCTGTATTATTATCATGTTCTCGCCGAAGTTAAACTGTCGTATATAGTAAAATCGTATATAAGATGATAGTTCTTGGACGTAAGGTAAGTTAGGTATACTACTCAACAAGACGTCCAAACCTTCTAAATAAACAGCAGCACCCATAAACAAATCGATTGAATCGATATCTAAGAAGTCTCATACGTTATAAGTCAAAATGGTTAAAGTCGTTATTGCATCGGCCTCAAGCGGTAAGTGACCGGCATTGCGACGTTATAACATGTTCTTAAATGAAGTTCACTTATGAGCTAACTAGATACTTTAGCGCTGGCAAGAGAGGTTATCGATGCCCTGGTAGCTACCAAAAAGCATGATATAATTGCCCTGGTCCGAAAGGTGATACTTTAAATACCCCTCCCCCCTTTTCTCCCAGAAAACGAAACTCTCTAACACGATAACCTAGGATCCCGCCCAATTTCCTTCCCTTCCCGGAGTTGAATGGGTGAAGACGGCTTACGACGACAAATCGGAATTGGTCCGGTTGTTTAAGGGCGTAGAAACCGTCATATGCTTCTTAGCTGTCCATCTTGACAAAGATAATGCTACTCAGAAACTGCTTATCGATGCTTCTATTGAGGCTGGTGTTAGGCGGTACGCTCCGTCGGAATGGGCAACGTAAGACTTTTATTCCATGATTTCCTTTGATATATTCTTAGCAAGACGTTTACTAAAGATATAAAATAGGGGCGAAAAACTAGAGTCTTCACTCGATGCCCTTTCGTGGTATACCGGCAAGATTGAGATAAGCCGTTATTTGGAGAAGCTCAACGAGAAAAACAAGGTATTCCCTTATGTTATGATCCGGGTGGTAACCATCGCTAAACCATTACCAAGGTTATTGAGTACACTAAATTCCAAGTTGGTACGTTCATGAACTACCTTGGTCATCCGCATAAAACAGCAAATTATGTCCAAACGCTTCCGTTCCTATTCGACTTTGAGAGCCAGCACGCCGTGGCGGTCGAAGGCTCGCTCGACGATATCATAGTATGGACCACAGTCCAAGATATCGCGGGTGTGGTTGCTCGAGCCGTAGAGTATGAGGGTGAATGGCCAGTCATCGGCGGCATTAGTGGGACCAGGGCTACCATCGGCGAGCTACTACGAGTAGCTGAGGTTATTGGTATATATCCATGAATACTTAACAGTAGTAGAACTGCTTAAATGAAAGTAACGCTAACATTCCTGGTAGGGAGACCGTTGAAGGTTGATTGGCTCAAAAAGGAAGACCTTGAAGCTGAAATAAGAAATGCCGGCGGCATTCTTGTTCCAGACCTTCGCAACACTACGCCTGAGCAGGTTGGCTCATTTTTGCAAGCCGCGACCGCAAGAGTCTGGACCGCTATCACCCGTGGTGCTTATGATGTTACGGATGAATGGAACAAGTTGCTACCGGACTACAAGTTTACTCAACTTGAGGATTTCCTCAGGAGTGTATGGAGTGGGAAATGAGGACTTATCTAGATCAAGCACATATATCGTGAACGGTATGACGTGCTTATATGATAGTTGGGATTTGGCGAATCACAACTTCATTTAAAGCAATGTTAACTAACTAAATTGATTACCATTGGACTGGATTAAATATAGCAGAATCAGAGACTTAATTGATAGGAATATGTTGATGGAGCTACTTTGGGAATAACTAAATGAAAACTTATGTACCCCCAAACTTATCCAGATATTCAGGGGTTTATAGATCGTATGGACTTTTTAAGCGACGGTTACTATTAATAACCATAAATTATTTTTTAGTTTCCTTTTATGTTTATTAGTTGCCTCCCGAATACAATCTAGGAGGTAAGGGTATAGTAAATGAAGAGACTAGAGTTATTCGAAGAGCTTCAGTAAGGGATGCATAGCAACCATCCATCGGTTGAGGTCTCTCAACGTTACACTATCCTAACAAAGCAAACTGAGCACCTTTCTTTACAAAACATATCCCGACGGTATGGTCAAGTTTTGTATCATACCAAATCAAAAGCGGGCTTGGTGAAGTCCGGCATGGTCCCTTTCCATGTGTAAACCTAGCAATATCGAATGCAGAAATGCAACAGACTATAATAACAACGGAATAACTACGACAAAAGCAATGGCAGAGCCGAAGATTGATGTGGCAACAGAGCAAAGCAACATCATTGACTTTGATGTAGTTCCAGCTCCATCAAAAGAGGGCCCGTTGGCATGGGTGCAGGTTTGGGCGCGTTCATATTGAATCTCAATACCTGGGGCCTAATGAATTCGTACGGTGCGTTTCAAGCCTTCTACCAACTGGATATGTTGAGCGATAACTCATCGTCGAGTATTGCTTGGATCGGGTCGACGCAAGCATTCTTCCTCTTTCTCGTCTCCCTCGCTGCGGGGCCTCTTTTCGATGCGGGTTACCTTCGCTGGCTTCTGTGGTAGTTGGCATGTTTCTTACCAGCATCACTTCGGTCTACTGGCAGGTCTTCCTGACACAGGCGCTGGTAACGGGCCTCGGTCTCGGCTGCTTATACCTGCCCGCACCCGCTGTTGTCTCCCAGCACTTTGATGCTAGCATCGCGCTGGCGATGGGTGCTTCGTCTACTGGCAGCGCAATAGGTATGTTCCAACGTTCTGGGTTTCATAGCGATTCACCCCTGAAGTACGAGTCTAATTTTCTATTGATACCTAGGTGGCATTATCTACCCTATTGTCTTCAATCAGCTACAACCTAGGGTTGGGTTCGGCTGGGCCACAGGGGTACTAGCTTTTATCCTCTTAGCAACGTCTGTTATCCCGGTCTTCTTAATGAAGGTTAATGCTCCATACCCGAAGCCTTCTCGATCGATCAGCTTTTAGAGACCTACCATACTTAGTATTTAACTTGGGGCTTTTCTTTGGAATTATGGGCTTCTACATCATCTTGAATTACATCGAGCTTCTGGCATTGGCGAGGACCAACATTACACCTAATCTGGCCAACTACTTGCTTGTGATTATCAATGCGGCGTCGCTACCTGGTCGCCTCATACCGGGTTACTATGCAGATTGGATTGGAAGTATTAACGTGCAGATAGCCGTGATATGGGCAAGTGTAGTGCTAACCTTTAGTCTACTTGCTATTCGCACCTCCGCTGCCTTGGTTGTCTTCAGCGTGTTATATGGCTTTATGACTGGCGCTTTCATGGGGCTGCCCGCCGCCAGTATTGCTAGTCTCTCGCTCGATAAGAGCAAATTTGGCACACGCCTGGGCATGACTCTATCATTTGTGGGGTTTGGACTACTTGTAAGCAATCCTATAGCCGGTGCTATCTTAGGAAACGAGGGGAACTGGGTTGGCTTAATCGTGTGGTGTGGTGTGCTACTGACAGCTTCTGGTATATGTCTCGTGGCGAGTCAAATTTCTCATATGATGAGTATAAAATGAGTGTGTATGCTTGCTGATAGCTTTGGTACCTAACCTAATGTCATAGTTGATGGGTTAAATGACCTAACCATGTTCCTAACGTACGAGGTATCTGATATAAATGATATAAAATTTGGAGTTTCTTTATATTACTATAAGGGTCGCTTGTTTTATTATGCTTCTGAGACCGGCATATCACGCATAGGGTTTTGGGCTGACTTGAGAACAGGGTTATTTATTTAATATAAGAATAACGAACTGTTAGTATTGTTCCTGTACCTCGAAATACTGCCTCCGTTGTTGGTGCTCTTGGTATCCCGGGAACATGGTGGCGTAGAATTCCGTCCATCCACCCATCCGAACACGAAGGAGGTTATACTTCTCTGAATCCTCCGAAGCTTTCTGATATGTTTCGAGATTGGCACAAGTCAGAGTGAGCATGTTCCCTCCAACCTTACCTTGTGCGAAATCTGCCAGGAACTGCTGCAGCTGATCTAGGGGGAAGTTCTCCGGAATGTTCATATCCACTGGTGCCGCGTTCGATAGCCCAATCTGTGTGGCCTCACTCGTGTAGCTCTCCATCGCACGGTATATGTCTCGATGCACCGGCGCCGCGGGAAGATCCTATTTCACGTTCGCGAGTTAGTACCTAATTACCTCATCTGGCATCGACGCGAATTGTCTTGGGAACAGACATAGAGGCAAACAAAGGAGATGAAGAAACAAGTAGACGTCTTGGGATAGACTAGGCTCGAAAGGGAAGAAACAACTCTGGAAGCTTACCTGCGCGGCTGGGACGGGCGACATGTCCGATGCGATGGGCATGCCCTTCCGGCGACCGTCCGCCGACGCGCCGCAGTCGATGCCGTCACCTATGTAGCCCTCGAAAGTTCCGACGCCAGGCGTCACCACAAACTCGAATCCCGGGCCGTATTTCTCGTAGATCCTGTCTAGCGCGCCTCGAAGGGCCGGCGCCATCGTTGGCTCGCGTACGGTATCCACACACAGACGTACCAAATTGTCGACGAGCCACGTTCCTAGGTCCTGGAGCTCCTCGTCCCCGTCCCCGCTCGCCCACTTGGGCAAGTCCAGAGCTGCCCCTCGCAACTCCTGATACCGCACTGCCATCTCGGCGGCGTTGGCGGGGCCCAGGCTAGTGTCCTGGTATGGCTCGATCATGTCAAAGCCCCAGTCGCAGATGAGGCATCTCACAAGTTCTGGAAGTGTGACGCGTGCGGACTCTGTGTCGAAGCACAACTTCTTGATAGCGTATAGAGAGTCGATCGTGTTGGCTACACCTATGCACAATGGGGCAACTGTTTATAAACGTATAAGCTCAAGTTTGTACTTAGATAGGATAATGATGGGCGGGAAGAGTTTGTGCTGGAAATGAATAAATAATAAAGGCTGGGAGGTGTATTAATCTATGATTAATCGATTCTTTGCTATGGGTATGATTGCCCCTTCGAGAAAAAAAAAGGAAAACAAAAGGAGAGGAAAATACACACTGATATGAAATTTTGCGCCACCGGATGTTAGATCGCGTCCCGACTCGACGCAGCCATCGAGGAGTGCGGAAAGCATGGGCGATGGACATATATCGGCGAGGTTGCCATAGGCGTTGAACAGGGTGTTGTAGTTCTGGATGACGAGCCAGGAGAGGTGACCAAGGAAGATTTCCTGGAGTTCCGAGAAGGAAGTGATCTTTGACGCAGGACGGGAGCGAAATGTCTGCTTCAGACCGCGGAGATATACCGGTCCTGCGGCGCCGTAGGTGGAGCCCTGGTTAAGAGTCTGCTCGAGCGCTAACATAGGGGCAACGTTGCCGAACGTGAATTCCGATGCTCCTGTCATCATGGGCTCATAGCACCCGTCCGCTGCATAGTTGCGGGACCAGGCACGGGTAATGGTCTCACCCGACTGGAAAAGCCCTTCACACAGCCTGTCGTCGTTATAGAGAACAGGGTGTGCGCCGCCGGCCAGTATTGACTTGGCCGCTTCGTCCAGATATTCTTTAGGTATGTCTTTATACACACGTAACGTGAGACTGGGGGCGTTGACGGGGATGCGACGTGCCGCCTTAATGCACATGAGAGTAACAGGATTGGCACCGCCCTCTGGAGATTCAGCATCCGTGGCCGTGTACCCGCCTACAGTGATCTGCTGTACCCATTGGTTGATGCCACCGCCCTGAGGGAAGTTTCCGCCGAGGCCGTTCACAGACGTGGTGCCGTAGGTTCTATAGTCGTAGATAAACGCACGGTTGACGAAGGCGTTCTCGCCAATTTTGATCCAGAGGCAGTCCACTATCTCCTGGGCACGATCATACGAGATTTTGTTTGCCTTGATATCTCGGTCGAGGAAGGGCCAGAGGATCTGGTCGAGTCGACCAAAAGATGTAAGCTCTCCAACAAGATGAAGACAGCAGTGGAAAGAGAATATCAACTGGACCGCCTCGTGGAAGCTGGTAGGTGCGTGATCCACGAGGTGTTCCAGGCAGCTGATGACTGTTTGCATGTTCTCTTTGTCGTCCGCATCAGTGGCCCGATCATGCGCATCATGAGCAATCTCTACCCAGTTTTCGAGGTACTTTTGAACACCTCTAATCGAATCTCTAGCAGAGATATAGAAAGATGCTTTGGCGTCATCTTCCTGATTTTGAGCTTCTTCCCTTTGTTGGTCGAGATCTGCGATCATTTTTGCCAGCCCGTTATCAACTAGGGTTTGATAATTGGGCACGACGTGTCCCATAGCTGACCACTCATTAAGTCCACCCTTCAACCATGCAGCCATAGTTTCATCTTCATCTAGATAAGGGACAACCTCTTTCCCCCTTCCTAGCGTGAAGTCAGGGATTGCGCCGACGATCAACTCTTTGGCCGCGATACGAGTCAACCCGGTTTCCTGCGCGATCTTGGAGAGTGGTGAAGAAAGAAGATCGGATAGCGTTTGGAAATTAGCAAGTCCCTTGCGCTCAAGAGTTGATTGTGGAAAGGTCTCTTGGGGAATCAGTTCTTTCAAGTGCTGCAAGCGTGGGAAATGCTGGCGGGTCATCCAACCGTCTCGCCAATGAGAGAAAGATCTCGACATGAGGCTCAAGATGCGAACACTGGGACGATCACCTCCAATGACTATCTCCTGCGTCATTTGATGCATATAATCTTGCGAGTTATAGAAAAGGTAAGGATTGGGACCGCGAACGTCCCAGTGTGGATCCTCATACACATCATCTTTGACACTAACGCCAGTGATTTTCAGCTCAGTCGCTGATGGAACATACCAGTAGCTGCCGCTGATACCCTGAACGAAATCCATCAGGCGATCAAGAGGTCTCTCTGGACGATCGCCTACCATGTTTTGCAGAATGTTTTCAAACCGCTGCTGGTCGTTGCAGAAGGCCACAAACATGATGCCCTCTTCGCGACTAGCCTGTCCCTTGGACTTTCCGAATGGCAGGGCTTGGCGCAGCAGTTTCCTCTGGTCGAGATTTTTGTCCAGGATATGCGCACGGTGAATATGAGCGCTACCAGCGTGCTGGGAGATTACCTCACCATCCGGCCTCCGCCCAATCACGGCGTCTAAGGCGTCGCCGGATTGCGAGGAGATATCAGGCCAGTCGAAGAGAAACTTCTGCGTGATAGCGAAAGTGGCACCGCGGGGGAGGTCAGGCCCGGGAATCAGAATATCTTCGATTAAGCTGATAGGGTCATTAGGATTGCTGATGTGGTCGAGGTAACGGCCACCCATGACTCGGCCATCGGGACGCTTGCCTACTTCGAGATCCTGGATATCTATGACAAGTGGCTCTAGTGATGGGTATATGGATGCTGCCAGCATCGTTGCGGTCTCGTGGTCAGGAGACTTAATATAAAGCAAGACATCGCCACCAGTATTAGCAAAGTTGATACCACGATCGAGTACTGTGGTAGAGATGGTGATGCTTTGGTCTGTCCATCGACCCCAGAGCGCTGGAGAAAAGGCGGCAATCAAGCCACAGTCTTTCGTGTATTTCTTTACGATATCCTCATCTAGCTTTTGGATGATCTGAATAATTGCTTTCAGCGTTTGGTCATCTTGCTGCTTGAGGAAGATGGTCAAGATTCGACCGAATAGGGGTCGCATGAGAAGGCCGCGCTGAGCAGCCCGGAGTGTTGGGTTGAGTTTTGTGTCCATTGTGTCCTGTGTTCATGTACGTCTAGAAACTCAATGACATTAGAGCGACTGGCCGGGGTAAAGAAGCTATATCTGAAGATCTCATGGAATATATCCTTTAAACTATGCTCCTTATATCCAAGTCTGGGAGGTACTCGGCTGGCCATAATGAAAGTTATATAGTTTCATTTTAAGCCACTTCGCAGTACTATAACTGCACCGTTTGGAGTAACGCTAAGACATGTGCCCTTGACTGATGAAATCCGAGGCTACCTGTGATGTAGGGTAATATGTGGAGAGCACGCCTTCTCGTCACCACAGGTATCGGTGAGTCGAGTTATGAATTGTCACGATCGATTATTGGTTAATTGGAGTGTGGTTGTACACGAAGATCCCGATGGAAACTACAGGAGCTTCGTGATTCCATATCCTTTCACTTGGCTGATCCAATAATGCGGATAGCTTTTAGTTTCTATTAAGCTATAGGTAACACTGCATAGCAGACCATTCTCAAAAACGCGCCCAGTCTGTATGTAGATGTGGGCGTTAGCAAAAGGCCTATATAACGCCACCACGGACAGTGGTTTTTTAAATTCATAGAAAGCTACATGATGGGGAAATTAGAATAATTTCTATTTTATATAGTGATAAATACCATATTTTAGTTTCAACAATCAATAGTTTAAATATAATTGTTAATAAACGTATTGTTAGTACTTAACACCTCCACAACCACCTTTCCCTCTATATGTGGTAACCCATTTATACGATGTTACACATATCTGTATGAAACCTTATAGCTTCACTTGTGATATACACAACATATATCTACGAAAGCGTTAGACCCGCGGATGTATACTAGGGATCGGGTGAGGTTCCGAAATGGCCGCTGCAAGTCTTAGGCACGATGACTTGGAAACGCAAGCCACTGAGGGGTATGATAACTGAGCGTTAACCTCGGCCACTAGTTTTTATTGCTATCTAAATTGCCATCTCTTGTCAATATATGCTAGTGCTGCGTGCTAGTTGCCGGCAAGAAGAGACCACAGGATATGCTACCTATCATAACATCGAGATTTGCAAATAAAGGCTTGTAAAGCTCTCACAAATCCAACTAATCAACCTATTAGGATTTTCCTTCACTTAAAGCAGTGGAATCTGTAATATTGTCACATATTGAACTATTGGAATATTTCTAGCTTAAATACAGTCTAGTTTGCTTAAGGAAGCTACCGCATATGTAGCTGTCTCAGGCACTTGTGAATCGACACATCACTGCCATTTACGTAACTTATAATAATGCTAAGAAAATTAAGTAGCTACCTCGAATAATTCGTCCCACTCTATCGGAACCCCGAACCAACCATACTATAGGTCGTCCCGAAGATATTATAGAAATATTTTCCTAAGCTCATCCAAATGCTTGATCTGATACTTGGAGGCTAGCTTAACCGGAATAGGACCACCTTGTTCCACGACATTTACAGTGTTCCACCCTAGTTGTTCTGCCATATTACAGTTATTATAGGAATTATATGTTGACATCTTTAATAACTATGTCGCAATAGAATTAAGTGGCAAGGGATCATCGGGTTTACTAACCGACGAAGTAATAATCCTCTATATTATCGACAACTGCCTCCGTCATAGCTTTTGCGTACATATCCCCGCGTGGCTTGCATACAAGTGGGACTCAGTATTTACATGAGGTCTCACACCCTCTTCTCGTGGTAGGTTGATATGTTTTGTAAAGTATACGGATCGATTCAACCATGTGGTCGTATACTGTAGAATTTACACCATAGTTAATTTTAAGACCATCTCCCTACTTTTTATTAGGAACTAGGTTTTTGAATATAGGCAATTTTCGGTGTGGTTTTACATTTATATTCTGTTAGACATCCATAAAGTATACCAGGATGATATTTTAGTGTTTTGGTTAGTTAGGTTATATATATGCTAACCCCTTGCATTGACTAATTGGATTGCAATATATTTTTACCCCTAAACGTTGTATAAATTGAGATCTATAAGGCCGATCAACACTACTTCATGAAGATAGAATGCCCCGACTTAAAGACGGAGGTGGAGTAATTTCTGACTACCAATAGCTAAAGTAAGAGTCAGAGGATTGTAACTATTTTAATAAATATAGATAGCATGGCGAATATATGTTCAAATATCGTATTCACATATCACCCTCATGTATCGTCGAATTGGATATTGGCCTGCCCTATTGGTGACCTGAAGTAGGATGTGGAAGCCAGGAGATGTTCCGGTATAAATATTCCATAGGGGCTGTGGTACAGTAACTTGGACCTTGGTGCCGAGTGTCGCGTTAGTAAACCCAGCATCATTAATTTCCAATACTCCGTTTGATCCCACGGGGGGTTCGAGAGCTTTAAGTGAAACATTTGCTTGGAACATTGTAGACTCCCGATATAAAACCCACTGGAACTCTAAACGGCTATTATCCGTAGGGTTATCCGAGTCCAGCGTCAGTCCCGCATCGAACGTATACGTTTCATTACTCTTGACTTGGACAATCAGTGGATCTGGACCTTGTTGACCATTGATATTTAAGACGGGCGGATGCCCAACCTCTGAGAAGTTCGCAGTAAGAGTCCATTGCATTCGAGCCGCAAAATCATCTTGGTAGGCCGCTCTCCAGCGCCAGATAGATGCTTGTGGCGTTGAATACTCTTGTCCGTCAAGGCCAATCGCATTTTCTACGGAGTCGACAAAATGATTTGTATCAATCCCACCCGCCCAATCAACTAGAGCCAGAGCTAGACTATATCTTCCACCCCAACTTCCCCAGTCGATGCGATCACGGTAACCAAGGCCGTTCTGTACTAGCCACAGGAAACTAGGAGTATCGCCTTCCATGCCGAATTCAATTTGTGGGTATAGGGAACCCAGGGGCCCAAGACGGATATTGGCGTCTAACCAAGGGTTTTGTACAAGTGTTGAGTTTGCACAAGGACACCCAGCGAGGGAAATCCCACTCCACGTTGCCAGTGAATAAGCATTCCACGCGTGAATAGATACGACATAAAATATGTCAGGAAAATGAGCTCGGATCCAAGGGCCCGTATCGTCTTGATCAGAGATCGTATATAGCCGTATTCGCGACCTTAACTCGGCAGCGTCTGAAGAGGACATGGTGTTGTTGATATGAAGTAACGCCTGAGCGAGTGTATTTGTTCCGCCCCACCCCGCAATGAAAAGGGGCTCTTGAGACTCTTGTAAGGCGAGGATAATGCGCTTAGCACCCTCGCTCAACGGCTCGTGCAATGCCGCCCTCCCATATGTCTAAGTATACATGAATTAGTATATACTCGTTTTTATTTGCCAATTGAGGCTAAGGGGCCTTACTGATGGTCCCGAAGTAACCAGCGATAGTAGTCTTTCGGCGTTATCGTATGGTGAATTTGGGTTGACATGTTGGTTTAAATTTTCCACCACCTCTCCATATGCATTTATTATTTTGTTCATCTCTTCAGGATGAGTCTCATTTTTGAGCCACCAGGAAGTAGTTGCACAGATTCCTCGTGTATCGAACTCATTGGAATAAAGAAGATAGCGTATAAGAGACATTGAGTCGTCCGGTTCATTAAGAATATCTGACATTATGAACAACCTAGGTTTCCAGTCAAATTTCTGGAGCCTGCTGGTATCCCATTCTGCCTTTTGAGAAAAAGCCCTTTTCTCAGCCCATCCTCTACAAAGACTAAGATAGGTGATTATCGTGAAAACTATAAGCTTTGAGTAGGCCATTCCTGATAACTGAACAATGAAGATATTTTAGACACTGCAAAAATAGAGGGAAACATAGAATGCATGTCCCTTAAACTTAATAACGTAAATCACTAGTCAGCGGCCCACACAAGTCAACGGCCCAACCAAAATATAACCAAAAATCAACATTTTTAAAAATCTATAACTTTACCAACTTTTGGTCAAACTTTCCCAAATTTTAATATGTATTATATAACTATAAAACTAATATATAAAAAAACTGAAAAAAATACTGTTACACTATAATATAAGTTATAAAATTTTAGGACATTTTTGGACCTACTTTTATATTTTTCATTTTTAATTAATTAAAAAAAATAGTATAAAAATAAAGAAAAATATCATTATTATTAAGATTTAAATATATACCTAAATTTAAAATCCGAATTTTAATAGGATTTTTTTTAAGTAAAGTGCACGGTTACGCACAGACGTATTTTGTATGTATTTTCGTTGGGCCGCTGACTTGTGTGGGCCGCTGACTAGTGATTTACGTTACTACATTTCATAAAAGTTCCCCTCTCAATGGATCCATATATAATAGACCATTTCTAGTACAAATGAAGGTTTATGACTTCATCAGACAAGTTCGGTCTATTATTCAAACCCCTATTCTGATTACCCCGCAACTAAATAAATCTGAACATTTATGTACCTAGGTGTCGGTAATTGTGAATAACAAGGGGGCAGGCTTTAGAATCGAATCTAATCCCTGAAAGTACTAGTACCTATCCCCTATTCTCCAAAGACGCATGTGCATGGTGAGTATTCGCTCTGGCTTGCGAACTAGCGCATTACCATCACATGCATAGTTGAAACTAATATCGTTCTTACTATCAATACCGATGAGTAGAGACCATACCGCATCCACCGAGTGAGTTACATAACTGAAATTATGGTCATACCCGTAGACAAGAGTTGCTCTCATCATCTCATATTTCATACCTTATAAATTAATCATAGGCTTCGTAATCTCGCATACGACTTATCAGGGTACCAGGAAGATCATTTCATAAGCGCTCATGGTCTTGAAATCTTAGGAAACTCTAGAAACTGTCGACATACCGCTACACCACTAAAAGGTTATTTGGTAACAGATTTTATTCTATTACATTTCATATATCGGATAGATATTTATATCTGACAGAAACTCACGAACTAGATAAGGGTATAAACAGTGGAGTCGTGATCCTAAAATGCAACCATTAGTTTAAACTTATAATCGAACGTGGGGAGACGACGGACACTAGCCAGGGTGACAAAGATCTCATTCAACATGCTATGATCTTCCCTAGGGCTAGTCAAAGATTGCTTGGCCTTCTTAATTTCGAGGACCTGCCGCCGCAAAATTACATCTATTATCAAAGTATCAAACTCCTCAGCTTCCAAATTGCCCATCTCAAGGTACTGGAATCGATTGACTGCTTTTCCGATGCCAGCCCGATTTCAGCCGTAACCGTTCTTCTGAACTTGCGGCAGCGGTGGGCGTACATCTCCAGCTTCTATGCCCATTTTAAAGACAGGGAGTTCGGATTTCGCGCAATGGTTTGGTTTATATAAGCTATCTCCTCCTTCAGAAAGGCTCCACGAGGAAGAGGTCCGTTTTTTGTAGTTGCTATTGCCAGCGACCTGGCTCTGAAGCTTTCTGATATCGTGCCTGATCACGCCCGGCTCCTCGCCTATCACCAACCACAGCATGATCTAATAGTTTCAAGTCTTGTGTTAGAAGATTCTTAACGTAAACAAAGAGTACCATAGGGGAGGTCCGGGGGTATAGGGAATCATTCCGTATAAATGAAACCATTCTACCTGATAGTAACATGGGAATCAGCTTGGTGCATTCCAACATCGTGGAATGATTCTATTACTAGAATAATTCCGTAAAATAGAACGATTTGCCTTTTCACGTGACTTTCACGTGATATTCACGTGAAAAAGTGGGGTCAAAAAGGAAAAAAGTCAAAAAATTAGAAGGATTGGTCCTCGAACCCACCACTCTTGCGTTCGTGTAACCATAAACCCCACCTTTTATTTATTAAGGTTAAAGTTTAAAGTGTAAACGTTTGAGCTAATGGGACGAGGTGGCCAATCTCATCAAATTATTTCATTATGAAATTTTTCCTGTTTTTAAGCCTTATAACCTTTACATCAAAAAAAGTAAAATTTTAACTTAGAAAAAAAAAACTTTCGAAAAAAAAAATTTTTTATTTTTATTTTTTTCATTTTATCTTTTTTTACAAAATTTTTTTTATTATTTTTTTTTATTTTATTTTAATATTTTATTTTTTTAATATTATTTTTTTTTATTATTTTTTATTTTATTTCATTTTTTTATTATTAAAATTTTATATTATTAATAATATCGTTTTAAAAATTGAAACGATTTTACGGGATAGAATAGTTTTACGGTTATGGAACGCTTTCTTTGAAATAAAATATTAAAAGTGGGTACATGGACCCACTATATCCGGATCCTGACCAATCAAAGCCCTTAAAACCCAAAAACGTTCCGCCGCATGGAATCATTCCAGTTTTAAAACCATTCTCCCAAACCCCCCTCCTCCGCTATGGTAAGCACTGTTGTTATATCAAATCTACATTTGATAGAATATATGTTCTCATGTATTTCAAGATTTATCATTGAAATGGATCTAGCAGGTTTATATTACTTCTATGATGGAGGTTACTACCAGCCATTCTATTGAGTATGACCTAGTACGGTTGCGATATTCATTTTTTCATTATCATTGAAAATAGTCATTGGCTACCTACCGTTATTATTATCTGTTCACTGGATATCACTATCTTAGAAGTAGTGCCCAAGCGCGACGACAAGTTTATTCTATATTCCCGGGACGAACTATTTGATAGCTAAACTTCCTAGCCGCAGAAACGTGATTCAGGTCTTTATACAAGATGACAGATTTGTCAAAGAAACCTTTGTTTTAAATCGAGTTACATGTGGTGATATAGTAACACCATGAGAAGAAATAAACAGTAAGTATAGTTACCTACCTGAGGTAGAATTAATAGGTAAATATAACAACTTTGCTAAGAGTATAAAAGTCTTACGTTATTATGTTTTTAGTAGTCTCGAATGTTTTAATTACGACAAGTCTGTCCTTGTGGGCTTGAGATATGCTTGGACTACGTGGCTGTTCGTTGTCTATTATACACTCGGGCCACGGGCTTACGCATACCGAAGAAGTCGAAATCAGTATAGAAATCGTGATGTTCCACCAATCCAAGCCAACTAGTGTGAGAGCTATACCAAAATGCAGTTATGATGCGACTTCAAACCGGGGTCGTGGTCCCAGTGCAGCGTTTCTTCCCGCCGCGCAGATTGAGCCTAAAAAGACGATCGTATGTCTACCCCTATACGCGCTGGCATAACCCACCCTGCGCATGTGGGTTCTCCTATCCGTCGCTATATATAAGGCAGCGGTAAGTATATGATGTCTCAATGCAAAATTACTCGTCTCCTCTGTATTCGCAGTTTGCCTTAATCGTACCTGGGATATTAGTCCTGGAACCATGCAGAAGTCAATTCTCATTGTGTCGTTGGCTGCGGCCGTCTCCGCCCATCAAAATCTCCACCAATTTTGGGTCAACGGGGTTTCTCCTGGCTACGAGATTGGAATTCGCCGCGCTCCTAGTAACAGCCCAGTCGTAAGTCGTAACTCTCTTCAAACTCAGTGGAAGAAATATTAACGTAATCGACTCGTCCTGTACTAGACTGATTTGAAAAGCAACGATATTGTATGTAATGTCGGAGGCGACAAGGTACCTTCAGGGGTAACGACCGTTCCAGCTCGGGGAGGAGACAGTATCACTGTTGGTTGGGATCCATCAGGCCACCCTGGCCCCATCACTCATTTCTTGTACGGTCCGGTAGACGATGCCGCTAAAGCCTCTGGAGTTGGAGCGGGCTGGTTTAAGATTGACGAACGCGACTACGTAGATGGACATTGGGCGAATGAAGTGGTACAGAACAATGGCGGGAACTACACGTTCAAACTGCCTACGAGTTTGAAGAGTGGAGATTACCTCGTATGTTTCTCTATATGACTGGTTTGAATAACTCCTGAATTGCTGATACTGTTCTAGCTTCGCTCAGAAATGCTGGCTCTTCACGCCTCGCAGACGGTTGGTGGTGCTCAATTCTACATCGGCTGTATGCAGTTGAAGATTACAGGGAGCGGGGGCAAATGTTCGCCTACAATTTCATTACCCGGGGCTTATAATGCCCAGGACAAGAATATTTACATCCCAAATGTGTATAACGGCTTCGACCCGACGACATACACTGCACCTGGCGGCCCTGTCGCGGCATGTAAGTGATGAAGTATAGAGTCCTAAAGTCTCAAAATTTCAACCTTCTCCTGTGACAAATGCCTCAGCAGTATACAACATAATTGATATTACATTATTATGAACTACCAAGAGAAAATGAACTCTGACCCTCATGCTTGAGCGAATGCCGCATCTAAATCACTTCTTTCATTCTTCGTGGTAGGTCTCACGAACAATGTAGGTTAGGTACCTCTTATTTCGTATCACTATGTCCTTTCGATCACATTGGAAAAATCATATAAAAAGAATTGAATTGGAGTTTTCTTTATAATGAAATCAAATAAATATTCTACATATCTTAGGTAGTTTCCGCGTAAATATCAGGTACTTATAAACTTGGCATGTAAACAACATAACAGATAGATCTCAGATATCTAGGTAGGTATCCAGCTAGGCAGTCTAGCTTATCATCGAAACATTACTCCGAGGTAAAGCATCAAAAAACAAAAACTCGTCCCTATGTCTAGGTACCTATCTATTCAGCATCCTCGATTCTTTCAATGTCCTCGATTTTTTCATCATCCTCGATTTTCGCTTTCTTCATGGGAGGCTCCTCTCTGTCATCTACTCCATCTAGTTCATCTAGCTTACGCTTTGCTGGGCTCGGGCAGCTAGATTCTGCTTCTTCAGGGGTAGCTTGTACTTCAGCAACTGGAACCGGAGTTGCTTCTCTTAAAGGTTCTGGGATGATAGGACCCGGGCAAGTGTTTCCCTGTTCTTGGAGACCTTGATAACTGTCGATTACGACTGCTTCGTAAGCATGAGGTTCTTCGCTCTTGATGTTTTCGATGTTTTCGAGGACTGGACTCCCCATAGGCTTGTCATGACCATCGAATGCAGGTTTCGTAGGGGTGTATACATCACTCTCGGGTACTTGCTCTACATCCGCATCTTGGTCCGAGTCATGACCATCTGATTCCAGGTCATTCGGTTGCGACACGTCTGACCCATGCTCTGACACAGCAGTTGAGACTGGAGCCGTGACACTCTCATCTTTCTTGGGAGTCTTGACTTGTGTCTTACGGGCTGACTTTGCCTTGGATTTTGTAAACCACTCGTCCGGTTGGTCTTCGAAGAATGGATTTAAACTGTCGGGATAGTAGTTCGACTTCTCACTAGGAACCTCGAGTGCCATTCGTACAACATATCCAGATTTTCGAATCGTACGATGCGCACAGGCAGCCATCATTGATTCTCGGTAGGAGTCTATGTCATGATGCTCCTCAAATTCAGTCCAGAGTAGATCAGTGTTCACAGCACGGCCACAATCCTCTTGGTAGTTGAGAACCTTCAGTCGGCGAATAAATTCTCGGCATACAGCATAAGCCACATGTCCTGTTGCCCATGCTTCGGGGACGTCGTCTGTCGTAAAACTTTCAATCATAGCGCTGTCAGGTAAATGAATGCAGCCATCTTCTAAGATTTCCGCCAACCTTTCCAGAATAAAGTGTCTTCGATCGTCACGGTCATTTGGTAAAGGGTCGATAATAGCACATGCAAGCACCTCTCGGTCGAAGAGAGTAGGGGACGCTTGAGAGTTCGTGGAGATTGCCCCAATCTGTAGGATGACGGTAACCCAGACGTCCTGTACCGGTAGGTGAATAGGCCATAGCGTGAATTTACAATCACGCATGGGTTTAAACAGCGGATGAAATTCAGCATCGTTGATGTTCTCAAATTCCTTTCGACAAATTTCCTTTCGAGCCTTATCAAAACCTTTACCTTCCTCTGAGAAAAGTGGGAGATCGTCATCAACCGCGGGCGTATAGACGATTGATGATTTTCTAAAATTACGTGCCTCCCAGAATAAGGAAGTGTAGATGGAAGTCGGAGAGATAGGTCGATCTCTTGCGGTTTGTAGTCGATACATTCCGTCGGCTTCCTTCTTCACACTGCGGATTACTTGATTAGTCCGTGCGGTGAGGACTGCTCCCCAGCCACTCTTGAAGTTAGGGTTTGAGATAAGCCTGGCGGCAGAGGTCATTGGTGCTGCAGGCATATTGTCGAATTAACAATGAGTTTAGTAGCTGAGGTAGATTCTGTAAATATTCACTTGACTAATATCGAGTCCGGCTGAATTAGATAGATTGTGAGCTGAGGTCTTCTGATCTGCTTTCTGAATATCATCTCCATCACGGCTCCCTTGGGTAGACTTTATACTAGGTAAGTCTTGACATCTATCAATTAATTTTTGAGTTTGTACGAACAATGGCTTTGAAAATGCCTAATAGCTATTTTCGTACCTGAAAGAATTGTTCTGGGATTTTGGTTGTCCATAGTTAAGTGATTCCTGAAGTATAGTGCTTGTCAATGATGATATTCAATAGCCATTGTAGACTCTTTGATCGTAGTCGCATTGAATACATGATTGACAAAGGTGGTAATTTCAATAGCTCTTTGATATGGGGAAATTGTACAATAGCATTGATGTAAATTGAAAGCTAATATTACTATTGAAATAAATAACAAATTCATTCATTTACAGTGAAAGTTGTACAGTTGTACGTTGGGAATCATTAACTGAATACCAACGCGTCACTGAATAAACACCAAAAAGCGGTATCGTTTTATACAGAATGTATGAATTATTAGATACACGAGATACACGTGTAAGTAACACTAAAAAACATGTCGATCAAAGCAGCGAAGCACAGCTGTATGATCCACAATTAAACAATAATATCCCTGAAGAAAAATAACCCCCCCCCCCCTAATCATGCGGGGGATTGACAGAATCGGACCCTCATTACGTGGTATTTCAGGGCTGTGACTTGCCAACGATAACACAGCCTAACGCACAGCTCATATAAACAATACGAACAAAGTGGAATGATATAAATTCCCTAACCTAATCCTCACGCCCCATTCTCCTATTCTAAACGCTTTCTATCATCGTCGGACTAAACATCAATTCATCAAATCGTCAACATGGCTACTTACACTAACGACGACGATACCGCCGGTGTCCCTCAGGCACCTGGCACTGAGCATACCGAATTGCTCTCTTTTCTGCAATACTTTGAGACCTTGTTTGTTATCGACGATTCTTCAAACATGAAGCGCCAGTGGAGCGACGTGTCAGCTCTTATTCAAGCCGTCGCTCCAGTTTGTCTCAAATATGATGAAAACGGTGTCGACCTCTACTTTGTCAACCATAGGCCCATGCTTTACTTCCCCGGTATGTCTGTGCGCAAGTCAGGATATAACCACATCGGTAAAGTCCATAGCGACACCGGAAAGCGTGATAGCACGCAGAACATATTCCAGGGCGTTAAGCCCGGCGGCGGATGCAAACTAGGCTCTCGTTTGAAGAAAATCCTAGCCTGGTACATTGAGCAGCTTAAGCTGGATCCTCAGCGAGCCCCTCTTAATGTCATCGTGATTACCGCCGGCATATCAGACGACGACTTTGCGGCCCCGCTGCTCGAGATTGCCAAGGAGTTGGATAGCATGAACGCACCTGCACATCAGTTAGGCGTCATGTTGTTCCAGCTAGGTGATAACGAGGAGGCGCGTAAGAAATTCGAGCACGCGGACGACGAGATGTGGAAGCAAGCTCGCACGCGCGACATCGTCGACACCGTAGCATGGCGTGGCTGGCCTGCTAGCTTCGGATCCGACGACATGGTTAAGGCTATATTAGGTGCCGTGTCAAAGAAGATGGACGAAGCAAAGACGGCCCTTGCAGGAACAACCCCTCCAAAACGCCACGAAACGAACCTCTAAGTTGTCGCATTTCTAAGGTCTGGATCTACGAAAGCTAGGCACCGTTCATAAACAGATGAGCACTATGAGTTTTACCCTTACTTTAAATGCGTTGCATATCCTCTAAATGGTCGACTACTTAATGTACTTAATGTTGAGTACCTAGCTAGCTACTAACTTGGAGATTATGGTGTATATCGTATCTCTTGATACCCACTCATGCCATCTTCTGAGACTTACTGAAGTTATCATCTCGGATTCCGAGTCTATATGCCATGTCTGAATCCTTGACGCCTTGATGAGTAGACGTAATATAATTCTTAAACGCCGTAGACATGTGCGCAATTTCTTTCAAATGCGCCTCCTTGACTTCCGGGATAGAATCCTCAACTGAGGCGCCTCTTTCCCTAGCCTTCTTAGAATCGTAGAGCGCGAGCGCAACGGCGGATTGAAAAGCTGTAAGGCAATGGAATTTAGCTGAGGGTAGACACGAGACGGAAAGGTCCAGCTTACTTACCATTACGAATTTCGCGACCGTTCCATTCTAGCTTCTTGATTTCTTCGCTCTTCCGAACATATTCTTTAGCATCATATTCATAATGGATATCCGGTCCGCCGTGCTTGTGATCTTCCTTAAGTTTGCGGAAGAGGTTACTCCAGATCTGGTCCCGCGCTGCGTCGTCAAGGGGCTCATAGCCGATCGCCACATGGATACGAGACAGGAACGCCTCGTCAAAGTCGCCCACACGATTAGTAGTTAGAAACAGAATGCCTTGGAAGTATTCAAGAGCGCGTAGAAAAACTTTATATGAAGTCAGCTAACTATTCGGTTCGCAGACATAGGGATATATAAAGTGATCTTACTTGACACGATACTATTTCTCTTAAGATCATTGCTTGAACGTCGTTCCTAAGTATGAAGTTAGAATTACTAGTTTGTGGGTTAATCTGGTTTTATATAGTTACCAGATACACGTCGGCTTCGTCCAAAAGTACAATGGCGTCCCAACTATTGGCGTCTCTAAAGAACTTGAGGAGATTTCTCTCCAATTCGACTGGCTCATGACCTAGATCGGCTGCGGTGATGCTGAGCAATGGCCTCTTTGTGTATTCGGCAACAGATTCTAAAGAGATAGGGTCAGTGTTGTAGATCAGTCAGGTATGTAAACGTAGTTCTTACCAGCTGTGAGTGTCTTGCCGGTACCTGGAGGTCCGTGCAAGAGAAAAATTTGGCCCTCACCCTTTCCATGGATGAAATCTGCGCTGAACAGCTCAGCTTGACTCTTACTGTCTGTGTAGGTCTGAGCAATAGCCTTGATCGTATTCTTGTTGCTTTCAGGCCTCATGACCAACTGATCAATCGAGTCTTTCGCAATTCTTGGAGGGGTAAGGCCGCTGACATCAATAAGATCTAGGTTCCAAGTTAGAAAAAGTCCACTTCCCATATAATCTGAGCTTACGTACCGTATGTGCGATCTTTGAGGATAAATCCGAACATATGAGACATGCATAGGAGGTACTGGTGATCCGAAAGGCTCTCACGAGTCTTTGGATCAATGCTATCATAGTCGCTGAATGTCCCCGATACGTATCTTTCTTTCCCAACATCCACTTCGCTACAATGATGGCATTCACAATGAGGGGTTTTTGCTCGTTCTTTAATATCGGTTTCGTACTCATCCACATCCAGTATCCAACCCTCCATTGCATCTTGATCATCCCGATCCCAACTATTCCATGGATGAGATTCGTGTTCAACGACCACTCTGGCTCGATTATACTAAAGCCAGGTATAGGTTAGCCGTCTTTCCGTCAGGAGTACCTTTACTAGTCGTGTAGGAATATTTACTTACTCTCTTCCAACCCGGTCTTAATCCAGAACCAGTATACTCCAAGAAAGCAGACCCTTTAGCACATCGGAAAAACATCTTCCCTCGTTCAATGAGCTCCTTTCGCCGCGTGCCGCCGTCTAAATCATCGTGGAACCTTGTTGGAAATAATGGCAATGATGTTATGTTCCGCTCATTGTCAAAAACCGGTACGTCGACGAATTTAGATCTCCTTTTAATAACTTTGCCGTCGTACACAAGATTCCATAGCCGGATAGAGTAGCTTTTGACGTTGATCGCCCACAGCCCTTGGAAAACATGTTCAACACCATCAAAGATCGCGTCTACTATATACGCGTTAAGCTGTCCATTTTCAAGTACATAAACGTCGGATCCTGGCTTTAGCAAAAGCCAAAGTCCCGCAAATGTCGTGGTTGGCACCTTTTTGGCCCACCTAGCTTCCAACCCCTTAACCTGAATGGTAGGCTCGTTTTCGAGGTACTGGAGTAGAAAGTCAATATGCTTGTCACACTCGGCGTTATAAGCCTCGGTATGATTTCCCCGAATCCCACCGATTTGGGTTTTATACTCCCAAAGCTCTTGACGGTGGTAGAATAAATCCTTATAAGGATATGCGAATACTCCTTCTTCTAAGTCATCCGCTTCATCTCCAGACGGTGCTTCAGATGAGTATTTCATGACCGCACGTAGAGCGTTGATCAAAAGTCGAGAGTGAATTTGAAGATGTTTCTTCTGAACGCGGTCCCGGTCGCCTAATTTTGGTGCATCTTTGACCTTACGCCGGGACCGGGACCGGGACCGAGATGCGTCATGGCGGCCACGCTCTCCCAATACCACAGTTGTTTTCTCCTCCAGGACAGGGAGTGCCTCGTCTTTACTTCTCGATGTCTTCAGAGGTACAGGATCGTCTTTAGACACGCTGTATAGAAATTCGTCATCAACATATCGATTCTTCCGGTAGTAGTTGATCGTATACGTGGCTTTCACCTCATATCTGCCCTCAACATCGCCGTCCTCTTCGAGTTTATCTTGATCTGTGTCAGAAACTTCGGAAGGGTCTGAATCCGAGCCTATGCGGATCCAAGGTTTGGAATCAAGCTGTATGTCGACTATCCATCCCGGCTTAACCAGATGCTCCCAGTAGTCGGGGAAGATAATTCTTCCATCCGTATAGAGTTGATACTTGCCTTCTTCGATTTCCTTCAATGCGCTCTCATTATTTCTATATGATCGTTTAATAAGCTCTTCAATTCCCTAACATAAATAAGTAGCCGCACTCTCAAACCCAAACACCATGTTATTATAATATACCTTCCAAGTTTTGCACAAAGCCCATGGCAGCATGAATTCAGTCCGGATATCGTGTGCCAACGTTATGAAATTTTCAAGAGTTGCTGGCTTAGCCGGCGGTTCTTCCTCGGCCGGATCTTGAGGAGCATCTCTATTCTCTAGAGATGGGGTATGACTCTCACTAGGCTTGTCGGGCGCGTCCTTGGTCATAACGGGGGGATTGATATTTTCCACAAGTGAAGTATTAGACATTCTAGCCTCTGTAATACCAACACCAAAATAGTTAGATAAATCAAGGAATGAAACATAGATTCTTGCATAGGAGGTACCTAATTCTACTTTTTCAAGTTCTTCTGGTTGGTGGAGAGGATCTCTTCCTGACGAAGCATTGTTCTGATGACACTGAAATAAGTTATGCGGAATTGAATCGGAAATTATATCCATTGTAGAAGAATGATACTGGTAGTCATCAGGTTAACTAAGGACTCCGGAAAACACCTCATTCAACATCAGTATGCTTGTTCCAGTTTGACGGAGGGGTAAACCGAATCTGACGCATCTCAGCCTCATCATCCTTCGAAATGCAAGGAGGATATTAGGGTCTTCCTTAGTATATGCTATTAGGGTTGGGGGCCAAGTTGTAGGCGAGTCAAACCAATAGTAGGGTCACAATAAAGTGGTATTTTCAAGGATTCTCGAAGGGATATAGTTGAGTTATATGATTACCTATGGGGCAAACAGCTTAACAGGGGGTATCTCCCCACCCCGCGCATTGCGCATTTACAAGCTGAAAATGATTACCTGCCTACATTAGGTATCAGGTATACAGCCAGATAGTTGAGCGGTGCGACATTATGCAACACATGATGTGTACGGAATACCTAGGTAGAGCTTCGGTTCTTGAAGTCAAGTCTTAAAAGCATCCTAGAACTTAGAAGTATTTTCGTCAATTGCATATACTACCTAGGTGTCTAAGGTTTTCGATTTGAATCGAACGATTGGTATTGAAATGGCGAGTTCGCGATCGTTACTTCGCGATCCCGAGGCTGATGCACTCGAAGGACAAAACATAATTCGACGGTTCACGGATGAGCTTACAGGTTCAAATGAGCTGGAACGATCAACTAAGGCAGCACAAGCCGAAATCGATGAAGAGGAGTTAGATAATGAGAGATTACGACTCAGATCGCTCTACGAAAGCCCGGAAAGCTGTAACAATCAGTAATAGTATAACCCGTCGTAGTCATATTCAAATACTTACTTACACGGCGCTCCAGGTCAAAAGACTTCATTGTGTCAGAAATCGCAAAGAATGCATTACTTCAAATGGTTAATAAGTTCATCGAGAATGAAAAACCTTCAATGCTGCAGCGTATAGGGTTCTCTCACAAGCCGACGAAGTCAAAGGCAAACGACATGCTTTTAGACATGGTACAAAGCGATCCAAAAGAGCTTGAAGCGACAATTGATAATTTAGAAGAGAACTGGAAACAAAAAAATGGACGCGTAAGGCGGACGTCAAATTTCGTTGCTCACACACACTTCTCTAATGCTGTAACTCGATAGATATATCGAACTTTTAAGCTGTTGTGTACGACTCTCGACGACCATAAAGCTGTCTTTTCAATATTTCCGTCGCAAAACGAATATACTTCAATTTTATGCTCGAGTATTTCTTGTTTTGTAAAGGTATGTTCAGCTAATGGGCAGTACTCATATGATATACTTATAACTGACAAAGGAAGATAGGCGGCTAAGAATCATAGCGAAATTGCCGAAACACTATCCAACTCCGTTCATCGTATTTCGGAGACTGTCGCTAGAGCTTCGAAAAACATCTTGATATTTAAAACGCAGTCAATAAGACGGAAGCTCGCGGATATCTACGCCATCGTGTTCCGATTCCATCACAAGACGATACAGTGGTATCTAAGTTCGAAGCTAACGAGAGCGTTTCTCTCCTTTAATGAAAATTTGAAGGCGGGTTTCGAAAGTACCGAGAAGGAACTTGATAAAGAAATTGAAGAGTTGTATCGTGAGGCACAGATTAGCCAGCATGCTATGGTCGCAATTCTTTCTGGTAATATTGAACGTTTGAGTGCCGAGCTACACTACCAACGAATGCACTGCGAAGTTACAGATACCACAGCCGGCCATCGTATGATAAATTTGATGGAGGCAAGTTGGAACGGAAGTCAGTTCCTTAGACGACCACAGCAAATCGAGCCCGATAGACATAACACACTCGGCAGCGAACTCATACTTCACGCCCAAGACATGGTTGAGAATACAATAACACGCGGTCAAGCCCGTACTTACAGCCCCGTCATAGAGCGTTTCATTGTCGGTGACGAAGGGCCATCTAAATTCGGTACAGGCAAGTTCTGGGTCGCCGAAGATGAAGTTTTGCCGAAGGTCCGTGACTGGATGGTCGAACCTGGGACGACACGCATGCTATGGATATCGAGCCCTTACGATCCAGGGGCCATGACGAGTGCGCATGCGTCGGCACTGGCTGTTATAGCTGCAGCGTGGCAAGCAAAGGCACCAATAATCTCGCATTTTTGCCAACGTTCGCGGCGGGACGAGCTACGCGCAGGTATGACTATTGAACAGGTAGGGATGATGGGTTTAGTATACAGCCTGGTATCCCAACTGCTCCAGTTTAACCAAGATGAAGCTATTCTCAATACCGGCGAAGACACCTTTAGCATATTGAACGGAGAAAAGAAATCCTGGGATACGAGTTTAGAGGCCTTAAGAGTACTGCTGGGTCATACGACTGTGTTGAAATATTGCGTCATTGACGGACTGAACGAACTGGAGTTGGGGGATGGTAGCCAATGGTGCCAGCAATTTTTAAACGTCTTACTTGAACACCAACAGGAAAAAGAGACAGGATTCAATATTCTCTTTACCACGGCTGGTCAATCGCGTATACTGGCTTCCAGAGTAGATGTTAAAGACAGACATCTTGCAACCAGACCTGCGAGAGAGTTGGCTAGGTGGGGAAGGAGGATCGAGTTGGAGCTTTGAGAATTAAGATGAACTCGGCGACAGTCTATATACATTAATTTGACTTGGACTGTGGAGGGGAGGTACTAGACTACCTCCTAGTAACCTACCTATAAGATATATATATTCAAGTATAAGATTTTCGTAATAGTCAACTAAGCATACTCTGAACCCCTAGCTGAAGACGTGAACCAATGTTATGTATCGAACCCCTGCCGCATCAAAGGTATTTTTTATACAATCAATCATATTTTTAATCCATAGAACATCATCCATATAAAGTACTTGATGTTCGAAAATTCCAGCGCCTCGGCTATGTTGTTCTCTCCGCGTAGGTCTATTTAGCCGGAACCGTGGTAAACCTATGATGCTAAGCACACACGCACTGCCAAACGATTTGGACACATTTACATATCCGGCCTCATAATTAAGAGCTACAGGCTTTTATGGTCTGTCTTAGAAATGGCGTCGGCCTTCCCAATTTCATTTCCCCCCTATACATCCACCGCATTGTTGATTGTTGACGTGGGTCGTATTACGACAGACTGACCACTACATCACTATACATACTAATATTTCCCATGGCCCCTTTCTATCCCCCGGTCTTGCGCTTTCCTTGGATGGCGGTTTTGGCCTGTCTGGTCGGGCTTAATCCGCTATCAGCATTTTCGAAGCCATTGGATCCGAAGACATGCTCCTTAGATTTACACGGCTCGATTCTAGGTCGTAGACAAGAATTACTCACATGTCCTCTCCCCATAGACGAAGAGTCCGCAATAGATACTGGGAACTGGGAGCCTTGGAAACGTCGACCGTACTGCATAGAGCCTTTACCGGGCGATGCACCTGGGCCACAGTTCTGTGTTTACACATTCGAGCCGTTCCGCGGGGACCGAGGTCTAAGCGTTATAACCACCCCCGTACTTGCAGCGAGCATGGTTGACGCCTTAGATGACTCTGTCGTGCCCCCGAAGCTCAGGGACCACCCGTCAAGTTCCCTCGCAGCAGAAGGAAGCAGTCCGGCGTACGTGATTAAAGACATGCCTGGAAAGGGGAAAGGGTTGGTTGCGCAGCGCCAGATTCGGAAATGGGAACTTGTGTTGGTGGACTATCCCGTAATGCTTGCACACATGGGCCTATTCGATGTAGTAGGCCCTGAGCTCCGCGAGGACGTTCTAGATCGAGCTCTACGCCAACTACCAGAGGAGCAGCAAGGCGAAATCTTATCATTAGCACGCAGTACTGGCGGTGAAACTGTTGAAGATATTCTCAGAACGAATATATTTGGCGTTGAGCTCGGAATCGAGATACCACACCTGGGTCTACTTCCTATTGGCTCCGTGAGTTGTAACCCGTGAATGGCGACTTAACGCACCTAACTAACAGAAATAGCGGATCAATCACAACTGCAGGCCCAAGTACGCATTTACACCTTCATATACCGAATACACCTGAACTAGAAAGCTAAATTGTGACCAGCGTTTTCTGGAGATACTCGGTACGTGCTTTAGCAGTCGAAGTGATTGCAATGCGCGACATCGAACCCGGAGAAGAGATAACACAAAGTTGTACGACCCCTTATCCCCAACCCCCTTCTACCATCTTCTCACTAACACTCCTCTACGCTAGATGTGCCTCTTGGGTTATCCTACGAGGAGCGCAAGGAAGACTTGAAGAACTGGGGCTTCACCTGTACATGCCCATTATGCGCTTCTTCTCCGAAACAAAGAGCGGCCTCAGATGAAAACCGGGAGCGACTACAGGACATCTACCATGAGCTGAACGATAGCGCTGCGGGAAAGTCTAATCTGACAATAAGCACAATCGAAAGTCTCACTGAAGAGCTAGAGTCCCTAGTAGCCGAGGAGAATCTAGAGGCCCAACTTCTTGTGCATTACAGTGCTGTTGCCAGAGCCTACATGCGAGCCGGCGAGCTAGACGCAGCTAGAAGATACGTCGAATTGTGCGAATACTTGTGGGTACAATACGCCGGAGAGGAAGATGATTATCTGGCGGGAATGCATCAACTGCGACATGAGCTAAACGAGAGGGAGCGAAAGGCCACTATCGACGGGAGGTATCGCTAGTAGTATGGCGTTCTGCTTATAAGTTATGAATTTACGTGTATGCAAAACCAGATAGTAGATATATTAGTGATCCATCGCTCTGCACTGTCTTTTTAGTCGCCCAAAGCACCCTTATCATATAACCATAACTCTAACCATAACTCTGTCAATTCCATGTTTATTTAGAAAATATAACCTTTATAACTTCGATGTGGTTATTATTAGTATACGAGATTATTAGAGTCTGACCACTTGGGTCGAGATAGGGGTGCGCGACACCAGCATACGTTAGGCCGCCGTCGATAGGCGTTGCTGTGAACACTTTAACGTCAGGAGTCCATGGGCCTTCGAGCGACGTCGCGGTACGTAGGAGCACGTCTGAACCACCGGGACCTGCGATCGATATTAGTGGGTTTATAAAAACTTTGGAAACCTCCTTTTGACTATAGTGATCCGGAACCGCGGCCGAACGGAGTGATAAAATAGGGATATGAAGCATAAGATGTTGTGCCTGAAAAGAAATGAATACCAACTTAGATGCACGAAAATATAGCATTCGTAGAACTCGCTCCACACAATCTGTCCTTGGCCTATGAGCCATGCGACCGTCGTCTGCGCTCCGAACTCCGTCAATGGTTGACCCGTCTTCCATCCCGAGTCTGGGCCCCACCAGTACTCGTACCGATCCAAGTCGTACGCATCGGCGGCTTTGACACGTAGTAGGTACACGTACTGCGCGTCGGTAGAATCCGTGACAGATGTTGGCGCCCCGCCCCATGCGTACACGTACTCGGACCGAGGGTCCCGGAACGCAGCTACGTCGCCGTATCGGGGTGTATTGTCCGATGGCCACCAGTATCCGTTGTCCCCGAAGCGCTGGGTCACGGTTGGTTCTCCATTTACGAGCTCTACTTTTGCGACGCCGGCGCCCTTCAGACCAGCGTCATTAGCGTTCTACAAGGAGTCTGTTAGTCTTATGTTGGTGGGATTGGACTGGTGTTTATTCAGCTCTTACAACAAGATAAAAAATACCACCCGCTCCGTCGGCGGTCTCAAATAAGCTTGTTCCGCCAAACCCGTACGTATTTTCTTCGCCCCAGTCGGCGTTGAAAGGCACGAACTGCAATTGGTGTCGAACGGGGGTGTCGTCGTTAAGATGCATATCCACCACAACAAGAGGATCGTCTGTCATTAGAGATACGGCATCCCTGACTAGGCCGTGGAAGCCTTGCGAATCAGTGCTCGGGTCTGTCACACCAGACGCACACCACAATGTATCACCGTATACGGCGTACCATTTTCCCTGTAGCTCGCCCGTGAATCCTAGGTCCCGATGGCTGCAACTATTGTTCGGGTTCTGCTGGCCGAGGTACTGCATCTTGAATTTTGAGATTGGGTTTGTTCCTACGGGCTGCGTGGGGTCCATACTATCCTGTTGCCTCTGCCTGACTAGATTGGTAAGTTTGCTCCTGATTCCATTCTTATCCTCAAGCGCCGGACCTGCAAGGAGGCAAGTGAGAAGGGTTACATGGTACAACATTATGAAGAGCTGCAGTGATACATGTATATGACATATTGTGAAGAGGAAGAGAGCTGATGATATACATTTTTAGTAGTTGATGAATATCAGAGGATGAAAAGTGGCTGATGGTTACTCTACAGCATAAGGATCCTACATGTCTCAAAGCATTAAATCGTCGATAAATGTTTCTGAAAACAGCAGTTCCGTTTGTTATTCATGCTCCGCTAATTCATCCCTATCTCTTATGAAAATAGTTGTTAGATTAAATATATTTGATCATCTTAAGATCTAGGCCCTGTAAATTAGAAAGGGCTTGCATAGATTTTGGTAGCTCAATGTGAGGGCCTAGAGGGGTATAAGTCAACGCTCGCTTGATTTCAAAGAATATCGATTTTATCAGTTTAGTTTCAGGAACAGGAATGAGGTATAATATAAGACCCACCTTTCTACTTTCTAATAGGTGATCCGCTAATGCGGGGAGCAGCTGTGGGTTAAATGCCGATGAAAGGTACCTGCTTCTAACAGTTAGATAACCGGGTTTAATGCTCCTATACCGGTATGAGATATCATATGAAGATTGATCGTTATCGTATTATATCCCGAGTTTCGGCCTCCTTAGCTGTTCTTAGAATTAACAACAATATTTAATTGAAGTTTATATTAGGCTAACTAGGTGTAAGAAGAGTAACAGAGATATAAAATAAAAATGGAATATAAACACCAACTCGAAAGAAATGCAACACAGGTCAAGCCACGTCTGATTATTCATGGCGGCGCTGGTAATATTACACCTGAGAATTTAGGTCCCGAGAAATATAAACAATATAGACATGCGCTTCTCACTATAGTAGGGACTTATCTATCTACTTATTTATTGAGGAGAAAGGAAAGCTAAGACACATATAATAGGTCTCCAAGGCGGATGCTTATATACGCACTCCCGTACCGTTGAGCAGAAATGGTTCTTCTGAACTTGAGTTTCCTTCTGCTCTCGATATCGCTACATACGCCGTGACGCTCCTCGAGAATAACCCATTATTTAACTCGGGTCATGGCGCCGTATTCACGCGCGATGGCATCAATGAATTGGAAGCCTCCGTCATGGTATCACGGGGTTATGCCAAGCGTGGGGTCGGGGTGACCGGCCTGCGCAAGGTGAAGAACCCGATATTGCTAGCGAAGGCAATGTTGGAGCACGGAGACAAAGACCTAAGCAGAAAGAGCGAGTCGGTATTGGCGCAACCGGACGTATCAACAGAATCCGATGGTCTAGAGACGGTTGACCTTGATGTGCCGTCGGCGCAAGCCCACACGCTTATTCACGGGGAGACGGCCGAAACATTGGCTAAGATATACGGGCTTGAACTAGTCGATCCGAAATATTTCTTCACCCAACATCGCTGGGATGAGCATATACGGGCACTAGAAAAGGAGAAAGCGGGAAAGGGTCTGGCGACTTGGAGCGCCGAGGAATATCTACCCCAAGGCACATGCGGCGCGGTCGCCTTAGATACGGATGGAGTTATATGCGTGGCTACTAGTACGGGAGGTTTGACGAATAAACTTACCGGACGCATCGGCGATACACCTGTCGTCGGTGCTGGCTTCTGGGCAGAAGCATGGGCCGAGACGAGCGAACCAGGTGAAGAGAACACCTCGAGAAGTATAGCACGATATTTAGGCTTGCCAGGTCCAGTTGTAGATCTGTCGGTGAACCTACGAAACCTAGTCGCTGACTGTCTACCAACTCCCTTCGTATATTCTCCCGTTCCCCAAATGACACCCAATGCCAGTTACGGTCCCTTACAGACAACACGCTCCATCGCTTTATCAGGTACTGGAAACGGCGATTCCTTTCTACGAGTAGCCGCTGCTAGAACGGTCGGTTCAATCGCGCGATGGGCGAAGGTACCAGCAACTAATGCCTTGGATCGCATTGCCGGAAGGGGTGGAGAGCTACAGAAGAGTGCTGGAGACCGTTGGGGCCAAACAGGAGAAGGAGAGGGTGGTATGATCGGCATAGAGAGCATAGTATCGCGCGATGCATCAGGTCGTGTGGTTAGCACTTCTGCCAATATACTGCAGGACCATAATTGCGGAGGGATGTTTCGAGCGTGGATTGACGATGATGGAAAAGCGGTAATGAGAATTTTTCACCCTGACAGAGCAGACGAGTCTCCAAGTCCAACGGTTATAATCGGAGAGGGCGAAACCGAAGATGTTTGGCGCTGGATTATTGATAAAGTATAAGGTATAGAATCACTAGACTAGACAAATTGGTTAGCTATAGATACAAACGCGAGATTTCGACGCAGGTAATCTAGAAGTAACTGTATTCGTCAACATTAGGTAGTGTATTTGGATGTGGGTGTCCGCTGAGTAGGGACACGGCTTATGGAGGACTATCGACAGCCAGTTCCGCCTCAACACAGCGGCAATATCCTCTTATTTTACATATCATTCATCGCCCAACCATCCGTATTGGTTATGCAAAGACCGCCTAAACCCCGTATAAATACACGAAACCGATTGGATAATAGATCGGAAAGGAGCAGAGTGGGAATATAATTTTCGTCGCATTCGTTTTCTGGGATTCTATGCGAAAGCCCTCTCCGCCTCTGGCGGTGGTGGAGGCGCCTGGACGAGTATTAGTTAGTTTTATACGGTTCGAAAGTGATATATTTGACGGTGATGAAACCTACCTCTAATTTTGTTGAGCTTGCAAGCATTCTTTGGAACCCGATACCAACACCTTCGATGACAGCAAGGAGTACGGCGCAACCGATAGCACCGTTTCGCGCCGCTTTATATCCTCCTCGAACAGCTAAAGCACCACCGGTAAAGAAGCCAGCAACTAATAATATTGTTAGTGTATAGTTCGTAAGGAGATGCATAGATAACTTACTGATTGCATTGTAAGGATCCTCCTTTTTCCGTACTCCCTTAACCGCGCAGTCGAACGTTGAGAATAAACCGCCCCATACACCTATTCTGTAAGTAAGCTTCGTCGAGATTGCCAATGACTTCTAGTGACTGATGCCTACCGAAGTTACCACCTAATACCGGTGCTCTCGCCTTAATAGCTGTGATTGCTCCTATTCTCCTCTCGCCCATCGGACTGTTTCGGAAACCCTTGATACCATGCCATATAGTTCCGCCGATTGCCTAATAGAAGAGAAGCATTAGCTCACGACCACAAGATTAATTAGGAGACAGTAAGAAATTAGAATAGGCAACATACACCCATAGCAAATGCACCTCCAAAATCATTTAGAATAACCCATGGGCAAGGGTCTCTTGTGTGATCCATCCTGAGTGTCTAGTATAGTGGCGGGAAATTTGAGGATTTCGAGGTGGGATGGGATGACTAGAATTCTCCTAATTGTGGTCGCAAGCAGTATCTATAACGACTATTGGCAAGTCTTGCTTGTAAGGAACGAAGGGATAGTATGTTAACGTTCGTTTTCGTCAGGGCGGACAATTATTTTGCGCGGGGTGGTGTATTGTGAATTTGAAAATAATTCTTGAATCTTGCACATGAAGAATGACCTCGATACAAAAAATTGTTACTTCATTTTGCGCACGGACCATATCGGATGCTGAGATAAGTCTTCTTCCGATAAGCGATGAACGATAAGCGACAGCCGCCTTACCGCCATGGCGGCTCGTCCCCTTGTCCTTGTACGGATTACAGTAAGTCTCGTCTACTTTGGTCCTTAGCGCAGGCTTGCAATGGCTTCAGCTCTTATTTAGTATATACAATGCAAATAAAAGGAGAAGTTTGTCAACCTACCTTTAATATATAATCATTATGCTCTTTTCGATTATTCATACTTTCTACCTAACTCATATAACATGCCTTTCTGCTGCTAACAAGATAAATAAGATCAATGTTGAGGATTAAAGCCTATTATGTTTGTGCCGATATCGGGGGGCGGACATCACATCCAAATTCTGTAATGTGCAAATACGGACGGCATAGATAACACGTCTATAAACATACAATAATATGAGGTAGTTATACCTAGTCATACGATTATAAAAATAGAGCACGTATATACAGAGAGTTACCCAATGTAGAGTTTGTTTCAGCCGTAGTTGGAAAACTGCACATTATGAGATGACTCAAATTACACTGTGGGATTTTCCCGGGTATTCGCTCAAATTTCTTTTCTTATCTGCCTGATAACTAACAGATAAAATAAGTATTTACTAGAGACGTTGTCGCATATTAAAATATGACGTCTGAACCACACTAAAATTCATCATTCTTCTTATACACCAATTTAAGAGCTCCCTTGTAACCTACGGTCTGGTAAACATCAAACATATTGTCAAACATATTGCATGGCTTCTTTGTGCAAGTTAGGTACATACCTTGTTTGTGTAGTTATACCAAGACTGTACTATGTTTCGTTTTGATAGTCTTTACATGCCCAGACCTCTTATCTACCACATTTAATACAACGTCTAGTATTTAAGACAATCGCTTCAGCTACGCTTATGGAATAACAAAACACGAGATGAAGTCCACTTTATCATATCTCACGTATTGACGGCCGGATATCGCGTCATAGGCGCCATAGCCGGGCAATCCTGTCTGACCGATAGGTATGCCTCTCCCCTTATTGTTAGCCACCAGCCTTTTTATGCAAACTGGCCAATCGATCTTCCGAAAGTCCATAAGAAGAAAATTCCGCACACCGTAATTCGGGAGTTGGGAACATGTCACTTACTTAAAAAGCCTCAGGCCCGCTCTTCCTGCCTGCTTCGAATGTGTCCTCTCTTATGCATTCCTTAGTCTTATAAGTCAACACAGTCAACACCATAATTGCAGATAACAACTAACAACCAAAGACTTGCAAGTCATGGCTTTAGGGCTTGGCGAGATTACTGGCGCGTGTCAACGCTGCCAAGCGATCGAAGATGAAGAGACGGAAAAGAAAGATACCAACGAAGCTCTTAAGAAGCTTTATGCAAACAGCGTTAAGACTGCGGCCTGTAAGTTTGACCGAGTTCGTCACGACCTTATATGGAATTAGTTTTCCGTGAAACAACGCCCTACATCCCACAACATTTCCAACTTTCCAATCTGGGGAGATATTTAAGAAGATTGACCAATGGCACTAGCTTTGGGCAGAAACATGTTACATATCGGGCAAGCTGCCGGGGTCCTAAAAGCTGCTTAAAGTTTTTACTAAAAAACCCCAGAGTCTATACTAGTGTAGCCCCACCCTAGTATGCCTGGTCTGCTGCCCGTCTGATGGTATGCTGGTATACTGAAATCTGGGGCGTATGTGCCTGAAATTGCTTAATTGAATCCCCTGAATCGCGTCACTGCAGACGCTAACGCTAACGTCTAGAAGCTCTCCACATTCAATTATCTTCCTGTCAGTCATCACACCAACACGTCATTTTTAATTCTTTCCAATTTTATTACTGAATCCCATGATCAATTTTATCTGACCTTAATTAATACATATATTCCAATCAAATCTCCCTTCTAAGAAGGGACAATTATATAATCTTCTATTCGTTATCTCTTTCTTTAGACATATGTTTCTAGAGTGGTAGTTAATACGGAAATAGCAGCCATGCCATCTACAGCCGCGACTTCGGCTCCGTCTCCAATTCTCGAAATTCCTCCTCATACAACACCTCAACTACACCATAATCTTCAACACGACAGTTCCGTTCTTGCGCTTGCTGTTGGTAATGAAAGTATTTATGCCGGAACACAGAATGGAGAAATCGTCGTATGGCTTCTGGGCACATTCCAGAAGACACATCACGTACAAGCTCATAAGCGTAGCGTTATGTGTCTCTTCCTATCCGACGATGGCTCCCTACTTTTTTCCAGTGCCAGCGATCCAATTGTAAATGTTTGGTGCCCCCGAACTATGACCCGGCTCTATGAAATATATAGCACCAACGATTCCTTTGGCGACATTTTTTCCGTCTCCTACTCCTCCCAACACGAAACCGTCTACTATGGCGCTCAAAATACTTCTATCCAATGGGTTGGTCTCAAGGACCCAGATAGACGTGTCCCCCACGATTCCCCGAATCATCCCGATCGACGGAACCACCGATTCTTCGATTCTCGAGCTGTTGGTGGAACGAGTACACCCCGACCTACCGACGAACGGTACGACTTAATGCCTCGATCTCAAACCGTACTTGAAACGGATAAGCGAGCGAACAAGATGTTCGCGCATTATGGGTACATTTATTGTATGCTGATGACGAAAGGCACAACCACTTACACGGAACCGGATGAGGATGTTTTAATATCGGGTGGTGGAGATGGGACCGTAAAAGTCTGGAAGCTTGGTAGCCACGAAATTGGTCCGGACGGGTATGAGAACGGTATCGAGGAGATCATGGTATTAGGGGAGCAAGATGCTATGTCCGTAATGTCCCTTGCTGTTGATGGCTCATTTCTGTATAGCGGCAAGCTAGACGGCATCATCGAGCTATGGGACCTTGATACGAAGCAGAAACTAAGAGCTATCAAAGCCCATAAGGGTGATGTCATGGCTATTAAAATGGGATGGGGTTACTTGTGGAGCGCAAGTCGTGCTGGAACAGCATGCGTAAGTGAATCGGACCAGCTAACTAAGATAACTTCTAACAGCCGAGCAGAAACATAATACTGTCCACTATGGAGAGTATCAGCGAGATTCCTCGCAAAACGTCAATCAGAAGTACCAATGCTTGACTCAATGGAAAGCCCACAACGGCAAAGTGTTATCTTCTGCCATTACAACCCATGATGGGAAACACATCTACATCACGGGGGCTAACGATAATAACGTCGCCATCTGGATGCTCAAGAACGAAGCAACAGCTGAACAGCCATCGCCTGAAGAGCATGAAGATATGATGATAACTTCTTTGCGGGAGTTCGTATCATTCAAGACAGTCTCTTCCAGACCCGAGTATGCGGAAGATTGTCGTCGAGGTGCCAGCTTCCTCCGCACATTGTTCAAGAAACTTGGCGGCGATGTTGACATGTTGAGTGATGAAGACACATTTCACCATCCCGTGGTGCTTGCCAAGTTCAGTGGGAAACTTGAACCGGCTGGGAAGCGAAAGAAGATTCTGTTCTATGGCCACTATGACGTTGTGGCAGCTGAGACCAAAAACGGAAAATGGAACAACGACCCTTTCCAACTTACTGGAACTAATGGGTACCTATATGGTCGTGGTGTCAGCGATAATAAAGGCCCCATCATGGCTGCTCTTTATGCTGTGACCGACCTCATACAAGCGAAATCGTTAGATTCCGACGTTGTTTTTCTAATTGAAGGCCAGGAAGAATCCGGGTCCCGAGGTTTCAAAGAAACCGTGCGCAAGTATAAGGATCGCATCGGCAATATTGATTACATCCTTCTAGCTAACAGCTATTGGCTTAACGACGATACCCCATGCCTTACCTACGGCCTGAGGGGCGTTATGCACGCGACTGTTTGTGTTGAATCGAGAAATCCCGACCTGCACTCTGGTGTCGACGGTTCATATATGGTTAATGAGCCACTATCCGATCTCATGATGCTACTCTCGAAACTCAAGGGCCCGCGAAACCATATTATGCTACCTGGGTTCTACGACGGCATCCTCCCCCTGACGGCCGATGAAGAAGCTCGGTATGATGACATTTTATCAGTTCTCATGGAACAAGGCCAGAATGGTGTTTCGGCGGAGACACTCAAGGCTAATCTTATGGCACGGTGGCGCGAGCCAAATCTTACACACCACAAAGTCAAAGTCTCAGGTCCTGATGGAAGCCTGATAAGCAGTCATGCAAATGCTAAGATCAGCGTTCGGCTCGTCCCTGGGCAGGAGGTCGAAGAAGTTACTAACTCTTTAACCTCATTCTTGGAGGAAGAATTCAGCAATCTAGAGTCGGATAATAAGCTGAGTATTCAGATCGACAACCAAGCTGAGCCTTGGCTTGGTGATCCCAACAATTACATCTTCCAGACCCTTGAGGAAGCTCTCATGCAAGCCTGGGCCCCCTTATTTGACAAGAGTAGCAATGGTATTAGCAATAGAGTAGGTGCGAATGGACATAACACCAACGGCAAACCCAAACTTCGCAAACCCCTCTATATTAGAGAAGGCGGCTCGATCCCAGCCATAAGGTTCCTAGAGAAAGAGTTTAATGCCCCGGCTGCTCATTTACCGTGCGGGCAATCTTCCGATTCGGCCCATCTGGATAATGAGAGACTACGAGTGATGAACCTGCTGAAGAGTCGCGAGATTTTCGCCTACGTATTTAAAAAGTTGTAGAGCGGGGGGTGCATTTTAGAATGATTCATGGTGCTACGGCGTTAAAAGGCAATTATATACCTATATCGGTTTACTCGTAGCGATGTAATGATACATATTAGAAAGTGGGACGATAGCGTGGCGTTTGCGGTCCCTCATAGACTATAGAAATACAGATACCCTTGGTGCTAATTCCTTTCAGAGATTCCTAGAAGCCCAGGTTTGCGCTCCCTCTAAACCCCGTCTTCTCTTCTAATCATGGTTAGACATTTCATTTAAATATATGCCCCAAGTTCTGTACCGATATCCTATGTCAATAACACCTAAAGGTAATTTTACCCCCCCTCTTTCATTATCTACCTGTTTTCCCTCAACGGCGATGTCCCTGGTCTTGGCTATTCCTGCGCGATGCTACCGGCTCAGCTGGAGGAGCCCGCGCGTTTAAAAACAGCCACGAGGGGAACAGACACCGCCATCCACGCTGTTGTTGTGGTTCGGGGTGCTCACGAGGTCGTCGGTTGGCATCAGGCTGGTTGCGATGGGTTGATGATACAGAAATAGGACGGGGAGGGGTACCGCGATTGGTATTGGGGTCTCGTAGATTCGCTAAACGCTGGCCGAGAAGCATTCCATCTCGGTAGGCGATCTCCATAATGTCCAGGTCTCCTTGGTTGGGATTAGGGGGTCGGAACAGGTTATACGGAGATGTAAAGGCGCTGTGTGGCCCGTATCCTCTAATGCTCGTCTGGGTGCCGTTGTGAATAGATCTTCTCCGTCTTTCGTTGTGAGAGCTGGAGGGTCGCTCGGCGTCCTCTTGCGTTTGTCGCCCTGGGGTTGAGGCGGGATTACCTTCAGGAGCGGTGTCGTACACCTCGTCACCACGCTCGCTGGCGCGGCTGGTACGTGATCTAGTACCTGCGTGCCGCGATCGTTCCGGTGGGTTATCATGGTTGTCCCTAGGCCCAACTTCTCCTACGTTCGAGGAGACCGATACTCGTCGAGATTGCCTGTTGGTGTCTGAATGATGCTCGGAGCCTCCGGCAGGTCGATGTCGTGTAGTAGAGGTACCTCGACTCGATCTACGCGGCCGGTCCGCCTCGCGATTTCGCTCGAACACTGCAAAGCCATCATCGTCAATGATCTCAACCAAAAGGGAATATCTCTTCCGACGAGGTTCCTCTTCAGCAGGTCTGGGGGAGCGAGAGCTCGATTCTCGGCGAGACGAAGATGGCATCTCTTGTCCCGATTCTATTTAGGCTGCGTGGATGCTATTGTACAAGCCCAAGTTCGAGGCTTAATTTAGATACTATGCACGGTAGATCATGCGAATCACGAACCATTATATATAAACTTATGATACCAGCTTTACTAAGAACGTTCTCGATTGCCTAGTCTCTGAAAGACTGGGTACCTTTCGAATTCGTTGATCTATCCAGGACCAAAGATCCGCCGTGAATAAAGTCGACCTTTCTTCGTAATAAGACATGCTATAGAAGATTGGGCAATTCTTTATGCATCTCACTATAGTCTGTGACCCATTCCACCGTGTAATGTTTCTCGGGTAAACCCCGTGAGACCTTCATTTTATACAGATACCAACTATTACTGATGATATGTGTGGCTAGAGTAAGACTCAGTTCTTGATGGGGAAATGCAAAATGTCGGGTAATACTTAAAACAATGTCCTAAATTGTCGCATCCCACACCGACATTCACCTACGAAGCTCCTTTAAATCCACACTAAGTTTTTACGCCTGATATTCTACAACAGCTCTTTATTCTTTCACGCATCTATGCGTAGAGCTTTACATAAATAGGGGGCGATAGGTATAGAGAGCTGAGATATGTCAAACTACTCGAATAACAAATGGAGGACTCAGAATGTCACTATTTATTGTTTTACTACTTTCTCACCCAGCTCCTATGAAATTCAATGCTATTGTAACATACAGACTATATGAATCTAATATTTCCGCTCCTCCTAGCCACTTGTTTTGCGTAGTCCTCTTCCATTGGCACACATTGCCGCGCAGAACGCAATAATTGCAAAGACGGTTGACGCGGTAAAGGAGTATCTCAATCCATCGTAGTAAACCATTCGTGCTTTGAGCTGGATATCTGGGGGCAGCTCACGCAATGTCTCGGCGGAGTGGCGAATTGCGTCGATTATCTAGTATTGCTCATTAGTATTTAACTATGGCTGTATAGAGATGAAAATGTTGTAATTAAGAAGGGTCGTACTCTCCATTTATCTGGTACATCATGCAATACTGCTGGGAGTCGAATACTGAGCGTTGTTTGTACGATTGCGGATGTTATTGATACGCCCCAAACTGTACCAAGCGATCGAATGAGGTAGACAGTAGACGCGGAAACAGCATGATCTAAGAGAAGTTAGGTATGTGATCATAAAGGCATTTTATTAAAACCACTCACCTGCATGCTCGAAAGTAGCTAGTGATGTGAAGAGAATACCGGGGTATATGATACCCTGACCTAGATTCGCAGGAAAGATGTAAATGTAGTATTTCCAATTAGAATCTACAAAGCTTAGTGAGGTTACTAAACCGTTCCCAATAGCCATCAATATTGCACCAATACGGACGAGAGTGATTAGTTTCCCCCACCGAGACATGACAATGCCTGCGATGAGACCTCCTATAGGAGTTGCTAACGATGGGATAGCGAGTCTCGCCCCTGCGGTCGTAGCCGAATCGAGCAGTACAATCTGAAAAAATAAGGGGAGTAGGAAAAGATACTACAGGAAAAGGTTAATTTCAAAGACATGTAAACATTGGTTAAGACAACCTACCGCATAAGCAGAGAGCCCAGCACAGACATTGGACAATTGTATAAAGATAGGTAAACGGCCCCTTAACATGCGTAAGGGTATTACTGGAATCGCCGTGGTATTACCCTCGACCCAGAAGAAAATGCCGAAGAGCACGGCGCTTCCGGCCAGGGATATTATTACCCATGGACTGCTCCATGGCAACTCATTTCCACCTAAGCTCAGCCCAACAAGCTGGACGGAGATTGCTAAAACAAGAAGAAACGACCCTAGGAAGTCGACTCTACGCCACGTCTCCTTCAGGCCTGAACCGCCACTGAAGCTGATCTGCTGGTTCTTAATGACCACGTAACCGAGAATAAGTGCTACGATAGATACCGGGACTTGCTGTCTACTATTAGTTGAGTTACAATAGATCAAAATAGTTACACTCACTAAGATAAAACACCAACGCCATCCGATAGTATCAGCTATCGAGCCGCCGAAAGATGCGCCACATATTGCGCCGAAGCCAAATATGCCATTTTGCATGGCTTGGTACATTCCGCGTCGACGGAAGGGAATCATATCGGAGTTCACAATTGTAGCTATTATTAATTAGAATAGCCACCAACCAACTTGTATAAATGACCTACCCATAGTCATGAGGCCCCCACCACCGAAGCCTGCCAGAGCTCTCATGCAGTCTAACAAGACGATGTCATTTGCAAGACCGCATCCTAGGCAGCCAACAGCAAAGGTAATAGTAGAAATGAAAAAGCAAATGCGGCGACCGAAAATATCGGATACACGGCCATATAGGGGCTGGAAGGCCGTGCTTGTAATGAGATATGATGTAGTGAGCCAGGATGCAGTGTTGGTGGCATCGAACTCGGAGCTGATCACGGCGTATGTAGCTGCTGTGATAGTGCCGTCAAACCCGTAAAGAAAGACATTGGACATGATCGCCATCTCGATCCAGATGAAGTAAGGAGGAGCTTTCCAATCATCCTCGCTTGGTGGGGTCGAACCTATAAGGGGTTGGCGTTCTCCGGACTCTGGATCATGGAAGGCGGCATTAGGCGGTTCAATGGCATCTGGTTCACTCAAATTCGCCTGTATGGTACCGCTACGCACAACTGCGCTATCGAGTATCGCGGGTGGTTCATGATGAGTAGTCATTTTAGTGAAATTAATGAGAGGAACCGCTGAAGCTGCAAAGACTTAGTGTAAGGCGTTCTTCACAGCGTTAAAAGGGGTATGAAGAACTACTGCATAAAGTCTTTCGATGTGCCCTACAATTATAAGATACTGATATTATGTGAGCCGAAGGTAAAACTGATGTAATAGACGTAACCAATGTTTAAGATACAGACTGGGCAAGGAACCGTCGAGGGGAAAGGTAGAAAATGCTCCCCGAACTCGGGGTTGCTCTCCGAAAGAATGGACCTATGACATATAGACACGGTTCCTTGCATATATACTACTACCTACTTGTTAATGATATGTAGGCTAAAATGATGCCATTGTGGATTCTTTCATCGCTATTCGACTTAGATCTATTCCATCTCTTTAAGTGCCAGGCCGATTTAGCTATAGCGCGTCATAATTGTAGAGAGGAAATTTTTCCTCTTTCACGGTTCGTCGGTTTTACTATTCCTAGTGAGTCACGCCGGTACTTAGTAGAGGTATTATAGTCCGGTAGTGTGTGGTATAAGTTAGAGGTTCATATGTGAATATATATGATGTAGTCTCCTTGAACTTCTGATCTTGACCTACAACTTTTTTGATATCCTACTACGGTCAACAATAAACAATTAAAAATTCTAACCAATTCTCACATAATCATTAGGAGTGGCTATCTAGGGATATTGTATTAAACCAAGGTTAATGTACCCTTCTTTAACATAACACGATGGGGTCGCTTTCTGACATAGGTAGTACTTACCCCTTTTGCATACCGCCATGAAGTCTACTCTCCTGCTAGAAGCGGCACTGGTATTATCAGTCCCAGCTGCAGCGGATTGGCAATTCAGATCTCGCTCAGACCTAGCTCCCCCAAGATTGAATATTACAATCCCAGCAACTGGATATGTTGAGAAGGGGTACTTGTTCGTAGCCCCTTTTGCTGGATTTCCGGACACACCTACAGAGCAGCATGGCCCTAGGCAAGCTGGCCCGTATATTTTCCGCGACAATGGAGATTTGGTGTGGTCTGGATACGGGATCTACAGCATCTGGTCAACCAACTTTCAGGCGGGCCGTTGGAGAGGCAAAGATATCCTGTTTAGCTTCGAAGGTGATCACAATCCGGGGTATGGTCATGGCCACGGCCATATTACCATCATGGATAACCACTACGAGACAATTCGAGAGCTTCGAGCAGGTAACCACAAGCTTGTGGATAAGCACGAGTTTCATATTATCAACGAGGAGACAGGGCTCATACAAATATATCAGCCTGTTGCTCGCGATCTGACAGCCTGGGGTGGGAGTGTCGAACAGCAATGGATTGTCAATTCCATCATCCAAGGTATGTAAAACTCCTCGTACTGACGTGCTGAGGAAGGCGAATTAATTAAACTTGTAGAACTCGATATCGCAACCGGTAAATTGTTATTTGAGTGGTCAAGTCTGGACTACGTTTCCCCTGATGGTGCGTCTAACTACACTATGAATGACTACGCTGAGAATTTCTAACCAATTACAGAGGCAATTCTACCAATCAATCCAGGACAAGCAGGTTCTGGATTCAACAGCTCCGACGCCTGGGATTACTTCCATATCAACAGTGTTGACAAAGACTCAGAGGGCAACTATCTCATATCCGCGCGCGATGCATGCAGCATCCACAAGATCAACGGTACTGATGGAAGCATCATCTGGAAATTGAATGGAAAAGACAGCTCTTTCAAAGTCCCAAAAGACGCCGAGTTTTGCTTTCAACACCATGCCCGATTTATAAGCCAATATGATGATATTGAAATCATTAGCCTCTATGACAACAGCGCACATGGGACTGAACACAGTGGGGGGTCTGAAGTTCATACGGCTCCGACAAGCAGTGGGAAGATTGTTAAGGTGAACACTACTTCATGGGAGGCCGAATTGGTGCAAGCTTTCTTTCCACCTGATGGCTTATTATCTAAGTCCCAGGGTTCTACTCAGACGCTTCCAAACGGAAATGTGCTAGTGAACTGGGGATCTTCGGGCGCTGTGACCGAGTATTTACCCAATGGCACAGCCATCTTTCACTCCTACATGGACTCAGGTTACCTTGGGCTTGGGGTTGAGAATTACCGTGCCTTTCGGTACAATTGGACTGGTATTCCCAATGAGGAGCCTGCCATTGTAGCCCTGAGAGGTGAAGAAGGTGTAACTGCCTACGTGAGTTGGAATGGTGACACGGAGACCAAAACATGGAGGTTCTATGCTATCGTTGACGAATTCGGTTCTAGAGAATTCGTTGGTGAGGTCGAGAAAACGAGTTTTGAAACTTCGCTTCGAATTCACTACGAAAACGTCCGTGCAATCTCTGCTGAGGCTATTGATGCTGACGGCAGGTCACTTCGGCACGCCGGGATAGCTCTTGTGGAACAAGAGGTCAAGCCATTGGGAAAGTTACCTCAGATCCCTATTGCCAAAGAGATAACTCAGAAACCGGATTTGAATGAAAATAGTCGGTGGAAAGAGTACGGAATTTTGAAATACATTCGGCTTCGGATCGATGAACTCTAAGCTAGCCGGACGGGGTGTCACTGTCATCGGAAGAGATGTCGATGGATCTATTAGCCTTCCGGGTGCAAGTCAAAGAGATACATTCGGATAGTTTCCCTTTGATCCATCACTCGAAGCTGGAGATAAGTACTTATCGAAGTAAGAGAGGCGAGGGCGTTGTATTCTAGGGAGGATTCACGCTCGTTTTCGGATTGGTCGCATCCAGTTAATACACACTCGTTTCATTACCCGCGTCCTCCGCGCTTTTGAATGATATTTATGTATTCACGAAAATACGCCAAGAGAGGCAAATACGAAAACTCCGATGAGAATTACAGAGGATGTGATGCTTATTCTGTCTTGGATTCCATCCGATAGCACATATCCACCATAATCACTCTTAGTATAGGCAGTTCCTCGTCTTTAATTATCTCGAGCCAGTTCTAATAGAACCAAATGAATATCGGTATGTGTGACTATCGAAAGTGGGCTAACCTTTAAGCGGAAAATCGGCAATTATGCTGCTCAAGAAGCGGTGGCATCCAAAGCACTTCCTTCGTAAAAGAAACCTCTTAATTTGAAGCCAGGCGAGCCCAATACATGCCTGATTCGGGTACAAATTGTTGGGGTTGTCGATAAAAGATACCTAAGGCGTCGTAGTTGTCGTATAACTTTACCCCCGGTGTTGCAGGACCGTAAAAGAAAGGGGATTTTGTGCTGATACGAAATCGCTATCTAAATTGATTGAAGTCTTTCCAAAGACTCGCGAGCCGGTGTGCATTGTTGATAATATCCTTTGCCAAGAGACACACCGATAGCCAGCAGATACATTATCCTTAGACCAATTATTTTTGAATTATGATCAGCTGTAAAATAAGTTTACCCAATGTGGCTACACCTGTGGCCTCATTGTCAGCTTGGGGATACACCGTCGTATCATCATCCAATACGGCGTGGTAATATAGCTTAGCCCTTGTGATATAGATGCTCTTAAAAAAACTCGTATCAACTGAACTGTCGCGAAAGAAGAGCTTGGCTTGTCTTTACAATTATGCAAAAGTCAATTATTCAGCAAAGATCGTAGTTATCGGGCTCATGAACGAAGGATAGGCGAAAGACGAATTTCGGCATATCATTTCGCAGGATATCGTCTTTTTTTCAGAATGTTTCTAGAATCTAAGCCTCTCCGCGGAATCCCCAAAAATAGATTTTAACGTTAAGGTTAAATGGGCTTGCTACTACGTTGCAACAGCTGTCCAACCAATTCTGCAGTCTTATTCGCTAAGCCGGGCCACGCTGGCTAGTCTTTGGTATATATATGCCGAGACCATAATTCAACAGCCTATAGGGCTGCGGCCGACGATCATTTCCGTGTGGGGAGGAGCTGTAAACGGGATGGGGCTACATTCCCAAGTTCCAAGATCGCCCATACATACGATGTCCCGACAGTCCCGTGCCACCCGCACAAAGAAAGTCTGGGGTTGCTGAATACGAGGCCATGAGCCGCACACCTGCCGTTACATTCGCTAGTGTACATAGAGAAAATCAAGATTCATGGGTCTCTTGATAGATCTCGCGCTGTCCCCGTCATGTGACTATGGAAAGACGAACGAAAGACCCGCCCGCGTCAATACGAGCTTCGACCATAGGATCTCTTTGATGGCTGAGTCGAATAGGGGATAGCGAAACTCGCCCGTCTCGCTGATAGGTCGACAATACGGAACAACTCGACATGATGATGATGATGGCTCTTGGACACTTCTGTATAAAAAGCTTGCGAACCTCCTACCAATATGCTTCTATCTCATCACCATCACCACCATTGTCATCATCATCACCATCACAATTACAAAGCACTTCACTTGCTCAAATAATCAGTACGATACTTAATCTTAATACCTAAAACTTAAAAACAACACCTCAAACCGCCACCATGAAGTTCACCAGCACCGCCATCGCCGCCATCTTCGCCGCCACCGCCACGGCAGCTCCCACCCCCTCTCCCGAGGCCAAGTCCGCCGTAGCCGACGTCCCGGAGTGGACGATCGAGAGCATCAAGCGCGGCTGCAACGCGGCCAACACCCAGTGCATCTGGACCTTCAGCATCAACACGCACCTCGCGGACCCGACTCCCTGCGAGTTCACCGTCAAGGGCTCTGGCAACGTGCCAGCCAGCCAGACCGACAGCAGCGGCAACATCTGCGGCCCTTACACCGTCGGGTCCGGCTGGAGCGGCCAGTTTGGCCCCGGCAACGGCTTCACCGTCCTGAGCGTCGTCGACGAGGCCCAGAAGCTCATCGCTTGGCCCTCGTACACCGATAAGGCGCTCGAGGGCAACGTTGTCGTGTCTCCTGACCTGAGCTGGCCGGTTACTTCTCTCCAGTTCTAAGCTGTTTGTTGACAGCGGCTGGGAGAGACTTGGAGATGGAGAGTAGGGGGGGAGGAGGAGGAGGAGGAAGAAGAAAAAGTGTCACGTTCACGCGGGAAAAGTAATTGTTCAATGTTAATAGCATAGCATAGCGTCACTGGCTGGGTTTGCATATAGGTACATCATAATACACAAAGTCACTCCTTAATATTAAATTTCAAGCCCTTCTGCTCGGGAATGATTTCATTTTACTTGCTTTCGTTTAGTGCTATGTAAACTGAATGCCTGACGCCCTATCTTTTAAGAATCATGGTATCCGCGAACCAATTATAAGCCAGTCAATAACATATATAGGTACCTAAGGTAGGCTTTGAATTAGGGCCATGGTACTAAGGTACAAACTACCTACCGACTCTCCTTAGTCCCAATCGGCAAACGGATCAGCCTTATAGGCGTCCCTTGCAGACTGGAATCTCTCCTTGAATCTGAACGAGGTCAATATTGCGGCGAAGATGATCTCGTACTGCCAGTAGAACATCTGGTGGGATGGTAGCCAGGTATCCAGTATATCGTCGCTGCCGTCGATGCCTTCTTTTTGCTCGTCCGCGTTTGCGCTCGTCTTGGGGATTGCGCGGAGGAAAGGTTGTGGAGACTCTTCAGCTTCGTCGGAGTCGGATTCCTCTACTTCGGTGTGCTCTTCGTCGCCCGCGACATTGTCTACTAATGAGCTGACGTCCGAGTCGTCAGAGTCGGAGGTCTCTACGTCTGATGAGTCGGCATCTTTGTCATCTGCGGGACGGTTAACTGAAGAGCTTCCGTTCGCAGTAGCGGGATCATTGCTTTCCATTTCTAGGGAAGCCTTTTCTTCTTCCGATGAGATATCTAGCGCGGATGGTTCTAGTTTCGACGCCTCGGGAGAGGGCTGTTTCTCCATCTCGCTTTCTGTATCCTCTAACGGCTTTTCCGGTGCTTCTAACTTGATCGGGGGTACGATATCCCCTGAACTTAACACCAACGTCCCTGGTTCATTCGTAGGTGCCTTTTTCTGAGGGTCGGTGTTATCATCTCGGGAATCCCCTTGTTCATCATTCTGATTAGCGCCATCTATGACTGTTAGGAATCCATCTTCGTCATATATTTCGATACTAGACGTTGATTGCGTACCATCTGTAGAGGAACTCGCTTCGTTTTTAGTACCGAATGATTCAACGTTGCTATATACGTCTTCGAAGAACGCCTCAACGCTGGTGTATCCTCCCTGGATTATGCAATCCATGTCGCATTTGGTGATCCTTCCTGTCTTGACGAGCCGCTCGAGATACCGCTTCGTAATCGGCCTAACCCTCCTCATTATTCTCTCGACGAAAATCTCCTCTGGCGGGAACTCGATCTCAGATGTTTCCATTGCCTCACGCAGTTGTTCAACCGTGATACCCAAGTGATCGAGATAGTATTGGCGCGTTTCCTCGAAATCATCCATGAGATCCGGATCGCCATCTTTGAACACAGTTATGTCATCTTGGATACGATTTTGAATCAAGGCCAGTTCTCTGATTCGTTTGCGAAATTGGATAATCAAGACGTGAACTCGATTAACCTCCATGGTGGAAGATGCCTTTTTCCACGGTGGTTTGGTTTGTTTGCACTTTTTTTTGGAAGCCTAGAATACAGGTGGCAGGTTGCAGTTAGAACTAAAAATAAGTTTTTAAAAATTAAAACAGGTGATAAGATGAACCTTTTTGCTTGTAGAAAATAATTTACTCCGATGGTATCTTGATTGTGTGCGCTTAGAGATATAATTGGACATTGCTTCTTGAAGTATTTATTACACGACAACAATAAAATTTACAATGTTTGTCAGTACTATGGGACAATAGCTTTGTTTATTTATAGCTGAATAAAGTATTTGTAAATCAAAGACTAAGCGATCAGCTTTTATTCTAAATAAGTCTTTATGTTATAAGTTTTGATCACAGAGACCTTTTCTTTCTCTAACCGCCTAGTATATTCATTACCTATGACACAATAGACACTGCCAGAGTGTTGTTGCAGTATTGTCCTAGACAAAATTATCTATCGTATGCTTAGAACTGAACAGTAAGGATTTGGCGTTATCCTAGATACGCTGATGTTGCTCCCGATTTTCATTTGTCTCCTAGACAAAGGTTCAAGTTCAATGCTCTGGATGTGAGGGCAAGGTGCTACTACAGTATTCTTGTTATGATGTATGATAAACACATGCTATGAAGCAGTCAAATGTTCTCGTGATATACGTAAGCTTCGGAGATGGTGAAGGATAGCTTCTTTATTGGGGAGGGATGATTAAAATAGGAACAAAGCTTTGTGCCTTGAAGCTTTGCAAAGGGCTAAAAAGAAAAATCAAATAACTTAATTAATCCATGTCACCCACGATATCTGTAAGATAGTGTTTGCCTACCAGTTATATTTTCTGTTATATTTTGCATATTACAATTTTGGATTTGAGGTTGACTCAGATATTGAAATAGGGGGAACCAAGTCAGGGGTTATCTAGCGCATGAATCACCTTTTTTGACCCACTTTACCTAATATAACCTCAATATAACTCCGTTTAACATGATATTGGGCTATCGGGTATGCATTATCGTACAGTCACAATCATTGCTAAAGTGTCAACCATATCAACCTATCAACTTTACAAACAAGAATAACTGACGTAATATCTTGCACACAGTTTAAAATACATGGCAATATTTATCTACATACTTAGCATCTACCAATACTTTTCTTCATATATTCCCTACAAGGAAAACCTGCTGCTAATGACGTTTCATGTCGCTTTACTCCCAGCAGCTTTAGATCCAGGCCAAGCCATATTAATCCAAAGAATTGGTGGGGCTTTTTACAGCGCATTTTTAACTCGCTAAAAGTCTTGGGCTGAATCAGGTTCGCTGGGTCACTATGAGACGTCACAGATGCTAACACCACGCGATTCACTAGTAAAGGTACCTTTTAGGTAAACATACCTGTTATGCGGGTTTATGTGTTGTTTGCTGACTTCTCTTCCCCCTTTACGGATTTCTACCTACCTTCTAACCTAATATATTGCTGCAATATTGGGATTACTAACATTGTTGTTGTTGTTGTTTTGATCTTCAACTAACTAAATCTACCATAAATATTATTCATTAGACGTAAACGCATTTTTTTTACTCGTGTGGTTTTATTGTGAATAACATCGTCATGGCAGAAACAGTACCCCTCCCGCCGAGCGAATCGCTCCACCAAGCTGGAGGCGGTCAGCCCGGTGCTGAAGATGTTAGTATCAAGGAGATAAGGACATCTACATTACAATATTTGGAACGGATTTACGCTACATATGCTTCTCCTACCGACAAGAACTGGCATAAGGACTCTATCATCGAATTTATTCATCATGTCCAAGCCGATAAAGTAACAAACCCCTCAGGCCATGTCGCGACTCGGGACTCCCTCGATTTTGCTGGTTTCTTACAGTACATGACATCGTCTGCAGCCAACGCGCTGGCGCCGGCAGCCTTAGATCCCCAGCATTTATCTTGGCCCTTGGCTAGCTATTATATCAGCTCCAGCCACAACACCTACCTGACTGGAAACCAGCTGAACAGTGATTCCGACGCAGATGCATACCGGAACGTCTTGCTGCGCGGCTGCCGCTGTGTCGAGATAGATGTCTGGGACGGCGACGAGTCCGATGTCGACACGTCGGATACCTCAGACAGCTCCGAGGATGACGAAACTCGGGAACTTAAGGCCAAGAGGAAGATGAGCCGCGGCGAGAAGATTGCCTCAAAATTACCTGGGTCGCTGGCTAACCGGCTCGAGAAGACATCGATAGGAAAGCGTATCACGGGGAAGACCTTAGCAGAGTCGGAATCTGCGGCGGAGAAGAAGGATGGGAATTCCTCCATCGGAGCCCCGCTAAAGAAAACACTGAGTCCGCAGGCAATAGCAGTCGAACCCCGTGTTCTGCACGGCTATACACTTACCAAAGAAGTCTCATTCCGCGAAGTCTGCATGGCCATCAGAGAAAGCGCTTTTGTTGTCACGGACTTACCGCTGATCGTCAGTCTCGAAGTCCATTGCAGCCAGGAGCAACAGGAAGCTATGGTGCGTATTATCAACGAGGTCTGGGCCGGCTTTTTATTACCCCAACCCGAAGACGACGCGAAGTTTCTCCCCGCGCCCGGTGATCTGCACCACAAGATCCTTGTTAAGGTCAAGTACGCGCCGCCTAACGCGCTCGCATCGGCAACTGAGGTGGAATCCGTAGACCGGATTCCGCCCGGCGTCGCATCGGACCCCAAATCAAAGACCACCGCACAGCAAAAGGTCAAAAAGGCGTCCAAGATTATCCAGGCATTATCAGCACTGGGCGTGTATACGCGAGGCGTATCATTCAAATCCTTATCCCAACCAGAAGCTTCCATGCCGACGCACATATTCTCGCTATCGGAAAGCGGCGTAGCCGAGGTCCACCAGAACGAAGCGGCAAGGCTTTTCGAACATAACCGGGAGTACTTGATGAGGACATATCCATCCGGCATGCGTATCGGGTCTTCTAACCTAGACCCCCTCGCTTTCTGGAGGAAGGGCATCCAGATCGTGGCGCTTAACTGGCAGAAGTGGGACGAGGGAATGATGTTAAACGAGGGCATGTTCGCCGGTACCGGTGGATACGTATTAAAGCCCGAAGGATACCGCGGTCGGAAACCCGTCGTTATCGACGACGAAGAGAACAAGGCGACACCCATCCCCGCATCAGAGACAATCCTACACCAAACACTCGACCTCACCATCACCGTGCTCGCAGCGCAAAACTTACCGATGCCCGAAGAAGACGATAAGGAGAGCGGATTCAAGCCATACGTCAAGATCGAGCTACACACCGAGCCGCCGCACGATGAGCATCTCTCCCTTACTGGCACAGCCGCAGCCACAGGTTCTTCGTCGACGAGGGCCAAAGAGGGCGAGTACAAGGCGCGCACGAAGACCCAGCGTGGGATCCACCCGGACTTCAAGTCCGAGAAGCTCGCCGTAGCCAAAAGTATCCCTGGAGTTGTGCCCGAGCTAGCCTTCGTACGGTTTCTAATTAAGGATGACGAGATCGGTCGCGATGATTTGGCTGCTTGGGCTTGCATTCGGCTGGATCGACTACGTAGCGGACATCGATTCGTGCATCTCTTCGATAATCAGGGCCGAGAAAGCGAGGGCGTGTTACTCGTCAAGATAGACAAGAAACTGGCTTAGGCGGCGAGTTTCGAGTCTCGGAGAATCCAAACGGGAGAGGCAAAACGACATCGCTTAGGACAATGCCAAGCAATGTAGGAGCGATATGAATGAGACCATATGTGAGTATGAGACGATCTAACATGATAGCATTATGAAGCGAACATATTCATCAAGCGGGAACATAGCTGGTTATAGATTGAAGAGGAATTTGAATATATTTGCGGCTATAAAGCAAATGGTATCTCCTAAGATAAAACATGTGCGTCTTGCTAATTACTACCATTACCACCCCCCCAAATGCCGACCATACGTCAGTTTTTACCATATACGCATCTAGTCATAAATCTCATAGCTCCGTCTCAACCGTGCTGTGATTATCCGTAGTAGAGATGAGATTTATAGTTCTCCAAGTGCCATCATCCTTCATGTTAGCTCGAGCTGCTCGAAAGGCGCGCAACCTAGTATCGTATGCGTAGTCGGATATCTCTGAAGCCTGTGAGCCCTGGATGTATAATTCACTTTCTTCGTCATCGTCTTCAGGATGTGTGTCTTGGCCGCCTTGGAATGAATTATAGTCGCGCTTATGTTTGTATGAATAAAGGGGGGCATGCACCATTTGCACCTGAGGGGTCTGCGAATAACGATGTAGTGGCGATATGTTGGGGCTCTGATGCTGTGATTGGCCTCTCATGGGTGATATTTCTACAGATACCCCATCTATACTATTGGATCCATAGTGCTTATAGGCATCAGGGGATGGAATTATTGGGCTAGAGGGATTTCTTGTCTGAGAAGCAGCCGTTGACTGAGTCTCGGGTGCATCTTCCCCATCTTCTCCGCGCAACTTCGGTCGTAATTCCGATGCTTCGCTCATTAGCAAGTCGTGTTGGAAAACATCGCCAGTGCAGATATCTCCGAAAAGCTGTCTTATGGTAATGCCCTCTTCTGCCCAAGATTTCGGATCCACCGTGCATGGCCAAATATCGGCGGGCTTGAAAGCCTTGATAAGATGCCGGAGCTCGGGTAAAGAAGAATGTCTAGCGTACGGGAATGTGATTTGGTTCGTAAGGACGTTAAGATAGTCTTCTCCTTTAGTATTGTTTACTGGATATTGGATTTCCTCAACTCTCCTAGCAAGTGAGTTAACTATTTCTGTGAAGGAATACTCCTCCTTGAAGCTAAACCTCCCAATATCGAGGTCGACGTCTCTAGAAACAGCTAGTGCTTTCTGAAGGAATTGTGTAGTCGTAGGCTCTAAATCACCTAGTATCTCTCCTTTATACTTGATTCTGCTTCATTGTTAATTCATAAAGAATCGAAGGGCAGTTTGAGAAACCCTTACAATTCTAACAAAGCTCGAATTCCCTCCGGTTCAAAGGTTATTTTCTGTGCCAGGTCGTCCCCGCCTCCACCAATGCCCACCTCAGCCATGTCTCGCCGATTCTTAAGATGTGCGACAATTGGCTGGATCCACACGATCGGCTTGGTCTCCATAACTTTGCAAGCCATACCTTTCTCACAGCTATGAATTCGCACATCTTCGTCTAGCGTCAGACACCCCTCCCGTTGGGTATTACCACAGGTAAAGCCTACAAGATATGGAGCTTCCTTAGTCAAGTGAGTTTGAGCAGCGTAGCGATTATCTGATGATTTGATGACGAGGGATTTATAAACGTCCATCTTGTACTTATCGACATGAATCTTGAAGCATGGTTAGCAATGCTACTAGCCACAAAGAGAGAGAATATTGAACCTTGGAGTCTAAAGCTTTTGATAAAGCAATCCAAACCTCTTCATATCTGCGAAGGATATTAGTTTAGATTAGATTGATAAAATTAACATCCTACCCGTAAGTCCATGCTTGCATGTGGAATATGGTATCCTTTGGATATCGTGCAACCTTTTCCAGAAGTTCGCGGAGACCATCGGCCTTAGTTTGCAGAGGGAAGTTGCTCAATATCGACGTATCGAGATATATACGGTCCAGCGTTTTTAGACCCGTAGAGTACTCTACCATGCTAGGGTTTCTAGCAATAGAATTTACCCACCAAGGTTCGCTCCTAATATCCCCTGTATATAAGACAGCGTTGCCATTGCCTTCAATTACTACTTAATAAGTTAGTACTAAGTCTAATACATCAATAAGCTGACATACGAAACATAACTGCACCAGCACAGTGGTTTGCATCTAGGAGTGTTACTTGAATGGTCTGAGTGGGATCTAGCTTGATCTTGGTGGGGGTATCTAGAGGAATGGGCTTTAGTACTTTGGCCAGATGCTTATACGTCTGCATTCGTGGATCCTCGAGTATTCCTTTAGCATAGTTGAGTCGACAAGGATACTTTTCAAGTCGGAGCAGGATTTCCCTTGTGGCGGCCGAACAATAAACACTAGATCATACCCAGTAAGCCAATTGATAGGTACTTGGCACGTGGGATTCATACAAAGGACTTCTGAGCGTATCAAGCCCAGCGAGATGATCGCTATGGACATGACTTAAGAAGCAAGCCAATGGAGGCCGGAGGTTGAGTCTACGGAAGAAGTCGACTCTAATATCAGGGAATTCGTGAATGATGCCATTGAAAGTTGACATAGCGGTCGACAGGGGGTGGACTGAAATACTACGAGTAGTGGCTCGAGAACTTGTAAGTTGCTAGATTAAACATCATGACTTTCGGAATTATCAAGAAGAAAAAGTTTAAGAAGTCAGGTCTAGGTTTTATTAGCAAGTACGCTTATTATTAAAGAGACGTGATGTACCTATGAAGGTAACTGCCTGGAAGGTACGTTGAAACCTTTTAGGTACTCATATTCTATGTCAGCTGGCTGGCACCTGCAAGATTCTGGATTTTTAAGGCAGATTAGGAGGTACCTACCTCCTAACGCCAGCGCTGAAAACTCGGATTCTAGCGAACATTTTAGAACAACACAGTCTCCTAATATTATACCATAAAACATATTTGGAAGACTTATTTAACAACATTATAGGACTCTCTCAACATAATTATCTCACCAATCAAACGCTAAATTACTAGGGTCATTAGGAAGCGTTCCTCTACGAATCAGGATGTTCGTGAGGCGGAGTCGACGCGAAAAATGTAATACGGCTCCAAGAGCGCAGATACGGCGTATTCATACCTCTCATAGCGTTGCGGATTAGATTAGCTGTAGGACATTTGGTATAAAAGTCGTCTATCGAAATCATACTGCTCTTATATCTTTCCAATGTTCTCTAGATCAAAAATAACATAACATTCGAAATCAACTAACCTAGGTTACTCGCCGCCCTGCGCGAAACTCAGTATGGAAGAGTCAATTGACATAGCTTCCCCGCCAAGCTCAAATCAGACCGGGAACAAACTGAAAATTACCTTCACAGGACCGCAAGAAACGTTAATAGGGCCGCTGGTAGCAAGAGCCACGGACGCAAGATCTGCTCATCCTATCCTTAACGACGTCGACTCTATTCGAGTCATAGATCAGATCGACCATGACTTCGACAAATTCAATATAAATGAATCCCATGCCATTATGTATTCTCTTCGGGCCCTGCGTTTAGATGGTTGGACCGCCGAGTTCCTCTCAAGCAACCCGCAAGCGACGGTCGTTCACTTGGCCTGCGGGCTAGACGATCGTGTACGTCGCGTCCGAGCAGACTTAACCAAGGTCCGTTGGATAGATCTCGATCTACCCGATGTCGTTGAACTGCGCAACAAGCTCATTCCCCATCCGGAGGGCGACTACCAGTTGATCGCCGCGGACGCGACTGAAAAAGCATGGCTCGAGCAGATCCCCGTTGACCGTCCGACTGTCATCATCTGCCAGGGGTTAACTATGTATCTAGAAGAAGAGTCTGGTAAACGCATGATTCGGCAAATTGTTGACCACTTCAAATCGGGTCAGCTTATCATCGATCATATCGGTACCGTATTACTCTCTTTACAAAACCAGGTCGACGCCCTAGTAGCCACGGGGTCAAGTTTCAAGTGGGCCATTGACGAACCCAAGAATCTTGAGGCTCTTCATCCGCAGTTGAAGATGGTGGATTGTTTAGGGCCAACCGAACTTGGTGATCACGTATATTTACCGCTTGGGACTCGTATGATACTGTCAACTTATCCGGATTTGCCCTGGCTAAAGTACATATCTTCTTACATGCGGTTTAATTTTTAGAGATAACTAGCGAAGTACGACCTGTTGTTTTAAAGCCTTTGATTATATATTTTGGACTCACTTTGAAGCAACAGGTTACTCGTGGAAGATGTATACACATCATACCCTTTCCCAGCGAAGGGAAACTTTTGAAGCTTAGATACCTCCTTAGATTTTAGGATATGTAGCTTGGAAATATCAGACGCTACTCCTTCTGTTTGTCAATAGACCTCTCCACAGCTCCAAGTACGACTTTTAACACAGCATCGGGTGATAAATCACCCATCTTTCCACCCCATGTCGTCGTATCAACAATATCTCTGATATCAAATGCGTCGCTCAATCCGTCGTCTGCAAAGTCTAATTTTTGACGTGCACCTTCATCGTCACCTACGCGAAAGAATTGTACGCCGACTTGATACGGTGGTGCGCCTAACACGTCCAGCTTCCGTGCCGTTCGAATTAACGTGTCGTACGGATTATCATCTGTCACGCCGGCGGTGATCACGATAAGGTTGAGCGGCCTAACAGTATTGCCCGAGCCTGTGACACCTCTGTCTCGGCGACTTCGTTCATATTCATGGACATATTGGTCAAGGATATAGCTGAGCCGATGGTCGAGACGGCAGTGACTTCCAAGTTTCTTAATGCTGCCGAAAATTCCTGCCACGTTGTCACGCATCTCTGGCACCCCGACTGACTGGCCAATATGCAGGTACCCGGAGCGGTCTGCATCAAATCCTAGAGCAGCATACATGAGGTAGCCGCGCGGGCGGTGATTCACGAAGTAGATGTCTACACCGTTTGGATCGCGCTCTGTGCATATCGGCGCAATCTTCTCGAGCAGCATGCCGACCTCGCCCCAGTGCTTTTCCATTGACTTAGAGTCGTCGATAAGGAAGATGGTGTCGAAGTGCTTTAGGAATGCGTACGGGTCATCGGGTGTGCTTATATGCTTGCGTGTTAGTTTCGCATGGTGTTTCTTGTGTTCAGTTGGTTTTGCTGATGCTTTTGGTTTCAGATCGGGGCTTGCTGGGATTGTTGACTCTAAGGGGTATGGAAGGGACGATTCAATACGGTCTTCGACACGGTCCATGATGATAGATGCGGTTCTCTCCTAGTTTTAGCAGGTGAATCGGAGAAGATAACAAGTTATGTGCCAAAGTACACATTAACCAGCATATCTTCTTTAGGTTGTATGTTGAGGGCGGACAGATTTCACCAATAATTTATTCAGAAATCCTGGTGGACTATATGCTGTAAGGTTTTATTTTTATACCTGTTTGATCATTGGGTTTATTACGGGAAACTTTGGGCTACAGAAGGAGGCACCTTCTATCAAAAGGTTCGAAACTGACAAGTCGGTTATCATGACATATCACTATAGGGCTTTCCATCTTATCTGTCACACGGCGAGGCAACTACCACGAGACCTAGGTGTCAATGCGGATTGGCAGTTGGGATCAGTAGCTTGCTTTAAATTAGTACGTTAGGTACCTACCGTCCAAAGATAACTGTCCTAATGGTTTTTCAAACGAAAGATAAATGTTTACAATCATTGACTCATATACTGTTGATCTGATTTGTTTCCTTCACTAAACACAATTTGCATATTTAATTATCGTCTCTGGATTACTCGCAGAGTAAGCTATCGGAGACACTTGTTCCCATACTATATTTAAATAGGTATTAGTTGTAATCCTTTTATTTTTACTTCTTGAGTTTTTATTACATACGGTGTTCTTTGTTTGCCTCAATTCATAAATGATAATCTTAGAACTGACTTATGATTGGTAATAAAGGGGTTCTGTAGGAAAGAAAAGAAGAAAAACATCGTATATAAGTACCGTAGTTAGTGCTTCTATAAACTTGTAGTATTCTAGAACGAGATTTATCATTCTCTATCGACTATCAAACTCTTCAAATCCACTCAAGGTGGTGAAATTCCCTTACCCTTACGAGATGTCATTTCTATCAGTAAAAAATGCTTTCCAGTCTCAAACCATGACCAGGGATAAGCTCTTAAAGAGCGCACATGGGTTGGACGTAGCATTGGACTGTGTCACCCACTTTGAATCTCTTCAGGACAGAGGGGGATACGACTGCCGCAAGCAGTTCCCATACGAGTTGTACAAAAAGGGGGTCCAGAAAAAGCTCATAGACATATGGATGGCAGATGCACCTAGTGTTCATGTACTCGACGGCGTAGGTTACAATTACTCGCCGAGCTATGCTGGGAGTGAGTTTGCCAAGTCCCTTCGTGTGCGTAACCGCGAGAGTGCCATCGTTCTCCGGGTGTACGTAAAGGATCGAAGCGAAACGCCAAAGGTAGTGTTACTTAAGATCCTTGGCTCGCTGATCTGGAGTTTAATTACTTTCGTGCCCGATGAATTTGGTACCTCGGAAGGTCTGCATAGAAGAAAATTTGAGACATTCATAGGTCGTGGGCCTGGTAGCTTTGATGTTGGATTAGAAATACTTCAATCATTGCCACTTCTAGAACTTAACGGCAAGACAATGCTCTGCATCGTTGATGGTTTGGATCTCGCAGAGGATAAGAGTACCTTGAGCCAGTTGCAACAATTAGTTACTGTTCTTCGTAACGTGATGTCAAAGAATTGTGCTCATTTACTTTATACACTTAGCAAGATGAGCCAAGTGATTCGGTAGATATGAATTTCAGATATCAAATGATGATAACTCAGGTGTTTGGTGGTTAGCAGCAAGGGGGTCAATTAATACACTGGATAGATACATATTTAGACTTGTATTCGTGGGGTTGTTTCTCTCTTTTCTGTATTCTTCCTTATTCATAACTTGGGTCATATTAAGTTCCTATTGGTAATTCATTTATTTGCTTCGAATGCGCACATTCTCGTATTACTCAAGTCGGAATTTGGATAACTGCGGTCGAGAAGATCAAGTGCTTCGATCCGGCAGTTCGGATCTGGATCCTAACGATGCGTATCGCCGCATTGTCGTTGGCCAATATTTATTGCCAAGCTGGGGGAATATCCGAATATGAATTGTTCCTGGCTGCCAAGGTAACAGGGGAGCAAGCCGCAAGCCTCGTGAGCCTTTCTACATTCCTAAGGAGGAAAGGCGATAAAGATAACCAAGAAGCTTTGGCGAAATTCTGGGTTGGCAATCCCTTTCCCCGCGGTGGTATCATGCTATGGCGGCCTGCAGCAATTTGAAATTTACAATTCGCAATTTACGCGTTAATCGCGAGCGAGTTATACCGATAAACAATAGTATAAAAGGGTAGTGGTACCCTTTTATTTATACAGCCATGGTCTTAACCGCTTTCTTTCCCCCCTTAGACGGACCTTAAACTTGGTTCCCATCTTCTAAGGCGTTGGTGTCAATAATTGGAATATTCCGCCCTACCTAATTAGCCAACAATGGAACTTACTGCTTGGCTTATCGTAGGGGCGACGTTGGTGCGCTCCGTGCTCGCCATTGAGCCAGCGCGCCAACCTCATCAACCAACTGGAAATGGCGACAAAATTCTGACTTGGAATGAGACGATGGTGAATAACCAATTCGGTGCTAGGTCTACATCTGTTAGTTGGTTATCTGGCGGCGAAGATGGGCAGTATATCTATGCTGGCGATGGAGGGGCGCTGATCCTTGAGAATTTTGTCACCGGCGAGAGCTCGACCTTCGTTGCTGCCGACCTAATCCCAGATGGTGTAGCTCAGTATTGGATTCGCCCGGACCTCGCCAAGGTCCTTTTCGCAACTAACTACACGAAACAGTATCGCCACTCATACTTCGCGGATTATTCAGTTCTCGATGTAGCCTCGGGCGAGCTGACGCCTTTGGTTGAGGATCAAGTCGGTGACATTCAATATGCCGAGTTTGCTCCAGCGGGAGATGCGATCGCCTTTGTTCGTGGCAATAACCTGTTCTTAAATAAGAATGGCACTATTTCCCAGATTACAAGCGACGGTTCTCCGGATCTGTTCAATGGAGTGCCAGATTGGGTATACGAGGAAGAAATATTTGGCGACCGCTCCGCAATCTGGTTTTCTCCCGACGGCGAGGTTCTTGCGTACCTCAGCTTCAACGAGACTGGAGTCGAAACTTTTACTGTGCAGTACTTTATGGATAACCAAGAAATCGCTCCTGTGTATCCTCGACTCTTAGACTTGAGATACCCCAAAGTGGGCACGACTAACCCAACCGTGTCTTTGACACTTCTAAATGTCGATAGTGAGGAGAAATCAGCCGTTCCAATCGACGCATTCCCTGCGGATGATCTAGTAATCGGTGAAATCGCCTGGGTCACATCTGAGCATAGTAGCGTTATCTACCGTGCTTTCAATCGTGTTCAGGACACCTCGAAACACGTCCGAGTTGACGTAAACGATGCCATCATCACCAAAGTCGTCCGCGAACGGGACGGCACAGATGGTTGGCTGGATAATGACATAGGCATAAAATTCGTGGGGCCAATCAATGGTTCTACTGAAGAATATTATATCGATGTTTTGGATGAGTCCGGATGGCAACATATTTACCTCTACACGGTTGATGGCTCAAGCGCTACCCCGCTTACCGATGGGGAATGGGAAGTAACAGCAGTTCTGAAAGTCGATAACAAGCGAGAGTTAATCTACTATACATCTACCCAAGCCGACAGTACTGAGAGACACGTATACTCAGTTTCATACTCTACTTTAAAATCAGAATCGCTTGTCGACGCTGCGATCCCGGCAGTCTGGAGCGCCTCTTTCTCATCTGGTGGTGGATATTATATCCTTAGCTATTCAGGACCTGATGTACCTTACCAAGAGTTGTACGCGATTAACGACACCCAGATACCACTTCGTACTATTACCTCGAACGACGCACTTTGGAATAAACTCCAAGGATATAACTTACCGAATATTACATATTTCACTTTGGATCACCCCGACGGGTATAGTTTGAACGTCTTGCAACGACTTCCCCCTAACTTTGACCCCGCGAAAAAATACCCAGTTCTCTTCACGCCCTATGGAGGACCAGGCTCGCAGGAAGTATCAAAGTCCTTTGAGTCGGTCGGATGGAACGCGTATATATCGTCGGACCCAGAGCTTGAGTTTATTCAATATACAGTCGATAACCGTGGAACAGGCTACAAGGGCCGGAAATTCCGTGCTCTCGTCGCATCCCACTTAGGCGAGTTCGAGGCAGCAGACCAGATATGGGCCGCGCAGGAACTTGCTTCTCGAAACTCCTTCATTGATGCAGAAAAGGTTGGCATTTTTGGGTGGTCGTTTGGCGGATATCTATCTGCGAAAGTAGTGGAAGCAGACTCTGGCGTTTTCACCCTGGGCCTGATAGTCGCACCGGTTACTGACTGGCGATTCTACGACAGCATGTACACGGAGCGCTATATGAAAACTTCACAGCTAAACCCAGACGGATACAATAATACAGCGATACGTAAGCCGGACGGATTTAAGAATATCGCTGGCGGGTTCTCCATCCTGCATGGCCTCGGAGACGATAATGTGCATTACCAGAACACAGCCGCTCTTCTGGACCTTCTTGTTGGGGCCGGCGTGTCGCCTGCTAAGATGCAATGGCGAGTTTTCACGGATAGCGACCACGGGATTTCGTATCACGGTGCGTCGACATATTTATACAAATTCTTGACAGAATTATTGTTCCGGGAGAAGACACGAACGAGTCAGAACCTGGCGCACCAATGGGCAAGGAGGTCGGAGTCGCACGTTTTAGATGAGCGATAGATGCTCAAATATAAGGATAGATATCAACCTTAGCCTTGATTAAGAGAGAACAGATAATAATTATAATCAGCAAATGCTGTGTCCATTGAAATGTGTTTCTAAATATTGGATTACTACCAAATTTGTTGGCTGCAAGCCCCTTTTTGATGGTTCACAATCACCCCTCTGATCAACCAAAAAAACGTACCTAAGGCAGGTAAACATGCTCTAAGAGCCTTGCAAGAATTATATACGCTCCCCATGAAGTAAAAATATTTACATTAGACATACTTGTCGAGCAAACCAGTTCACAAAATCAAGATGTAAGAAAAAATATTTAGGATAGTGATGGTATAATTATACGTAAAATCCCTCTGGTATTTATTCTAGCTACTAGAATACATCCGTTAGGAAGGTTTTCAATATAGTACTAATGCTATTGAACTTGAGGTAGTTCTCTGAATATTTCGCAAGTTACCTCCGCAAGAGGTTATAATCGGTATCCTATCGAACCATCGAAAATTACCACATAATATAATGCTAGACAAGACCGACTGGGTAGTTCTAATGGCATTAGGTTATATGAGAGCATTTGATCGTGCCTTAGCTAGGTCCTGGAAGTACGTCAACTCATATATCTAAGAGGATCGAAGGATTAATTTCTTGCTATATTGATTCTGCGGGAGTCTAGACATTCATGGCTCAATACATAAATAAGGCGATGGGAATTACAATTTAAATCCTACTACTAGATATTTTCACAGTATTCTTTACTATCTGTAACATTATTTGCAATAACTTCTCGCAATGGATTCAACACAAGTAACTTTGCTTATAACACAGCTCAGTAGCCTCAGCCCGAGGCTCTCCAACGATGACGATAATTCGAGGAAAGAAGCGTTGAATATAAGCAGGAGCCTCATAAAAGCTCTCGAGAAATCTGAAAACTTGGCCCTTGAACTGGCTTTCTCGGTATTTGTTCTTAATGATCTATGTATTTGTTTATCTATCATGCCGTCTAATCTCTACGATAGCCTTTAATCACGGTTTCTGCTAATATTGCTATTGATCTTGATCTTTTCAAGCTCATTGTAAAACACGGGCCCGTCGGCTCCAGGGAGCTGGAGTCACTCTCAGGCGGAGAGGAGCTACTAATTGGTACAGTTGTTTGCATAAAATATTGAAAACGAATACCAACCCTGATAAAAATATTAATGAAACTGATAGTCCGTATCCTACGACCCTTGGCATCAATAGGATTTGTTGACAAGGTTAGCGAAAGAGTATGGGAGCCAACGTCAGTGACTAGGGCCATGACTACGGAGTGGATTGGCGTAGGCCATCGAACGATGTGAGTGTTATTACGAATACCTCTATCTTGGCTAGCACTAAAGGGATAAACTAGCAAAGTAATAGCCAGAGGTGCTACACATAAAGTCCCAGACTGTTTTCGAGAAGTCGGGTATTATTGTCCTACCGATCCTCGCGATGGCTTGGTGCAATATACATACCAGACAAGTCTAAGCTTGTTTCAGTACTTGGCTACAGTCCCCCGCATGTCTAATGACTTCAACCTGTTTATGGGAAGTACAATGGGGGCTCGGAGTTATTGGGTTAACTGGTATTCAGTTGAGGAACGTCTGCTAAAAGGGGCAACTCAAGACACGGTGCTTCTCGTGGACGTAGGAGCTGGTGAGGGTCACGACACACTCGCATTCCATGCAAGGTATCCGAACCAGGGACGCCTAATTCTCCAGGATATAGTACCTCTATTTGATAGCATACAGGCTATGGATGGGGCCATCGAGTGCATGACCTACAACTTCTTTACCGCACAGCCGGTAGCAGGTAAGGTGTCCATTTTCACCATATGATAGCAATTACTCATCGTTAACAGGTGCACGAGCATATTTCTACCATCATATCTTGCACGACTGGTCTAATACTATGTGTTTGGAGATACTGAAGCAAGTGCGGGCGGCCATGACACCAGGGTATTCGAAACTTCTACTACATGAAATGATTATACCGGAAAAGGGCGCATCGACTTCTCATGCCGTGCTTGATCTCACTATGATGGTTGCCAACGCGGGCATGGAGAGAACTGAGAGTCGGTGGTGGGCGCTACTTGAAAATGCTGGACTTCAGATCGTCAAGGTTTGGCCGGCTTCGGAGGAAGATGCCGATGGGATAATAGAAGCAATGCTTCCAGAATAAAAGGTGGTATCCTTCTTTCAACTTTGATAGGGTCAATGATGGGGGTAATTGGTAGGGCTATCAACTAGCTTTGTGAAGCTGGTAAAGTAGCGTTCTAACTAGGGAGGTGTATACCACTCCTTTATGAGGCTAATCAGAACTAAATCTCTTAGTTCAACAATTATTATTATCTCAATTCAATTATTATCACCTAGTCTGGTAACGGTAGAGATGCTGATTACTCTAGTTGGTCATCACTATCGCCTGAAAAGGTGGCATAGCTGTATTTATCTTGTAGGTTTAGCTAATAGCTCTACCAATTATCCGTAATATATATCGTAAAGTATCATGTAGAAATTCATTAATTCATATCTATTGGTTAAGTCAACTCAAAATCATAACTTACTTCATGTCCTACAAAATTCAACCAAAATGAGTAAAGCCTTGAACTTATTTTCCCACAAGCTTCGTGATAGGTTCCTCCCATACTGCCTCAATAATATGTAGTATACTCCCTTCGATTTGCCGAGAGCCTTTGAATTGAAGCCGAGAGTCCGCAGCTTCGATGATCTCTTTCCACTTAGCCTCCGTTCGTTCCTTAGCATTCCATACAGCAAGCATTAAGAGGTCCAAGTTCCTGACGAAGAAGCATAATATAAGTATAAGGGTTATAATGTAAAATCGAGAGATTGCGTGGAACTAACCGATCATGTTTTCTTGTTAACCTGGTCTCTGGACCATCTTTGAGGACATACTCGTTAATTATCACTCTTGTTCCGTGCTTCATCCCCGGCACTAGTGCTTTCAAAATTCGCACTGCATCCTTGTCATTCCAATTATGTAAAATCCAACGAAGATAGAAGGCATCTACATCTCGGCGAGGTTGAGGCTCGAAAAAGTCGTGCGCCTCGAAAACAACACGAGACGTAAGTGTAGATGGCAACGTCTGGGCACCCTTTGTCACCGGGCCAGAAAGGTCTTGGACAACCATTTGTAGATGATGTGTGCCGGCGGCGAGGACGCGTGCGGGGCCACCTGTTCCCCCGCCGACATCTACCAGTATGGCCCCTTGTTTATCAAGAATATCCCACGGGTAGCCAGCTAACAGGTACTTAATGTCCTCCTCTGTGCCCTCAGCGAAATATTGCATCGCCCCCGCGAAACGTGCCGCACGCGCTTCGTCGTTTTTCAGTAATCCGAAATATGTTTGTCCGGGACCATACACCAGTGCCGTAGCGGCCTGCGTCGGTTCATCGCGCTCGCTAGCCGGCAGATCGCGCCAGTGGAGAATAGCTTCGTTCAGGTGGGTGGAAATGGGCGCTAAGTCTTTCACTAACACTGAGCGAGTGTGTTTTGTTAGTTGAGATAATCCGTAAACTGTTAGGAGAATTCATGAGGAATGTCTAAAGCAGCCACATGGACACTTGAATGAGGGGTATAGAGATTCATCATAGATTTATAATCAACACTTACTACCAACTGCGGCCAAAGCATCCGGGTTTGTTACCAATAGGCGGGAAGCTGCGGTATGTACAACACGTCCTGAGGGCTGACCAGGTGCTTCGCTGAATATATGATTGTACATTGCATGTCGTAAGATACGTTCTACTATAGTCGAATCTAGGCTGTTTACTTGCGCTATCTCCTCAAATGTTGCTGGCGCATCAAGGGGTACATGTTGAGCAAGACGGAAATCGTAGATAGCGCGCAAGGCCATATCATCGGTGAACTAGTAGCGTAAGAGTAAGACAATGACAGCTCGTTAATCGAAGTTGAAAATAAAATAATTAAACTTATACTATACCTGGAATAGTAATTCTCGGAGAATGCCATCAGCGCCTAGAGCAAGCCGCTTTGCGGTTTGTGTTTTGTTGATGAACTCCTCCCTTGTGGCATTGATTTCAACAGGAAGACCTTGGAGAGTATCCGACTCAAAGGTAGTCGGTTCTCGCCCTTGTGATGCAAGTTGATTATCTAATTTTAAAGCAAGATCCAAGATCTCCAATGCGAGATCTGTGAATGATCCCCTGGATGCTGTTTGCTTGGCTTCCATTTTATCGCGCTTGTTGATATAGCTTAGAAATGAGGTTCGAGGGTTAAAGAATGCCGTATTATTGTAAGATTCTATGGAAATTAATGAGGTACGGGTGCCCCAAATCCGAAATGCCCAAATTCGAAATGCACCGCATTGCGCTTTTTGGTGCGGTGGCTTGCATCCAGTTGTTGGCTGCGTAAGCTGGTTAGGTATGGTCTAAAAGAAAATCACCACCCCTGATTAACTTTGAGTTCAACTTAGGAACACTAATAGGTGATATGAGAAAGTAAAATGGTATAACTAAAATTGCATCCCTTAGAATGCGAACGTCTATATTGTATTCGAGAATTGTAACAAATGGCTACTTGAACACTGTACGAAGGGCTGTCTTCTCTTTGTTTATCTTTGCCCACTCGGCGCTTTTGACCCATAATCTCTCCCGCTTGACTTCATCTCAGCTTTCTGGCGAGCATTCGTCCTTCTGTATTAATCCAAAATAGGCTTCTACTGAAAGATACGGTATATGAGTTGTACTTGTATATTGACTTAGTCTACTAACTATCTATAGGAGTGGGGAGGGAGGTTCTCTTGATATAGGTATGCATTGAATGCCAATATACTATGTACTGTGCCTGAAAGTAGTCCTTTAAATAATCACCTTTACGTCATGAAGTTATCCTTTGTTATTATAACAAAACCCTTCTCCGATTTATTAAAAATCGTAGCCCACTTAACATCCTCGAAACCTATGAACACTCCATCTGTTAAGTCTTGCTAGCCGCGCCACTCAGCCCAAATAATACATATGCCATGATATTGTAGAGAATGGACTAGGTACCAAGTAGGTCGTATGTTTTTCTCGCCCTACGAACTTAAAAGTCATCGGAGAGCAAGCAATCAGATAGACTATGGGATAGCAATTGTTTACCTTCGAATCTAACCATTAACTAATGTCCAAAATGACTCTCGTTAACTTCTTTGCGCACATCATCTTTTCATACTGCCTCTTTGTTTTATGCGTTCTCGTTAAGATCGTATTTTTGATCCGGGTTGTACGGAAACAGAAGCCAGATATATCCCAAGTACCGGGACCAAGACTAGCACGATGGTCACGATTGTGGATTGCAAAAGCGCTCTCGTCTGGAAGGTCTCATGAGATATGGTCCGAAGTAAATGGGAAATTTGGTTAGTAGCTTGATTCCTATTGCAAACCAAATTGTATCTAACAGTTACTATCATTAAGGGCCCGTTGCCCGGATCGGTCCTAACCATGTTGTCACTGATGACCCTGAAATAACCCGCCGGATCCTCGCGGCCAGGTCGGGATATGTGCGTGGGCCTTGGTTCGATTCCTTCCGTACCGACCCCCAAGTTCCAAATATCGTCTCCGAACGCGATGTAAAGAAACACGGCCAGATACGTGCCAAACTTGCACCGAGTGTAAGGAATTCTAAATATAACGAAAGTCATACAATACTAATATATCCTATAGTTCAACAATAAATCTTTCGAAGCAATGGAGTCCGTCGTAGACCAGTTGGTGCTTGACTGGATAAATTCGCTAAGGAAGCACTTTACTGTACCAGATCAAGTGCCATGTGATATTGGCGAGAAAATTCAGTTTCTAACCGTCGATGTCATCACTAAAATCTGTCTGGGAGATGAGATTGGGTGCGTCAAGAATGACCGTGACATGCATCAAATCCTCGAAATAGTAGAAACTGGTAACTGGGTTTGCCAGTATTTTTCGGTCTTTCTCGAGTTAAACACGCTCTTCTTCCAATTAACTAGGATCCCCTATTTGAGGAAATTCCTTTTCCCTTCACCTTCCGATCGCACTGGCATCGGCCGTCTTATGGGGGTAAGGGTCACCTCGGATATACTGAGCATGATATGGGCATAACTAACCTGAGATTCATAGATAATCCACGAGGTCGTGGAAAATCGTCTTAAAGAAGGACATAAGACAACTGACGTCATTAGTTCACTACTAACACGGGGAATGCCAAAAGATCAGATAGATTCTGAGCTCACCGTTGCACTGTAAGAATATCTTGATATCTCACCCATACAGAAATCTATTGACAAAGGATCTTAGCGTGGCCGGCTCCGATACCACATCTACCTCAGTACAGAGTATTCTCTTGAGTATTATAGCCAGCCCGCAGGTTTACAAAACTCTATGCGCTGAGATCCGTGGGGCTGTAGCAGGAGGACAAGTTTCCAACCCCATCCAAAACGCCGAAGCTAAGCAGCTTGTATACCTGCAAGCTTGCGTCTTGGAAGGTTTACGAAAATTTCCTCCTCTAAGCCAACTACGCGAGCGCGTCGTTCCGCCTGGGGGAGATATGCTTGGCTGTTTCCACCTCCCGGAGGGTACGTTTGTCGGTTTGAATATGTGGGGTGTGCAGGTTAACAAGGCCGTCTATGGAGATAACGCTGAGCTCTATTACCCGGAGCGTTGGCTGATAGATGATGTTGATAAGCTTCACGCTATGCACCAGACTCACTCACTGATATTTGGGCATGGCTCAACCAAATGCTTGGGCATGCCTGTAGCTATGATGGAAATCACAAAAGTCATATTTGAAGTAAGTTTTGGTCCATGCCGTTATCATACAAGGCCAGGACTATACTGACTTCGATCCCCCAAGCTCCTCCGGAATTTCGATATCACTATTACCAATCCCCATAAGCCATGGTCCAGTATATGTTACGGAATCTTCTTCCAGAAAAACTTCCACGTTTGTCTTAGTCCAATCAACTATACCAACCCCCCAACCTATGAGCATGCTATAAAATCAGAAGTATCCCCTCCCTGAATATTAGCTTACCAACCTCTCCTTAAAATTACGTATTATAATGATTTGGTTCAATAGATCCCCGCAACACTATTTTACTCGTCAAGTTCTCGTCGTTTTTCCTTACAACACTTCGCCTCAGCCAGATAGACGATATGGTTACTACAGTACTACAATAACAAATC